AGCTTAGTAGCCTAACTAAGAGAAGAAAAAATCTGCAATCTACTCTGTCACATGTACCAAGCAGTAGCATCAACGCTGCAGCGCCACACTCCCAATGCTGCAGCGTTGATGCCACTGCTTGGTGCATGTTCCAGCGCTGTCCTCTTGGTGAAGGCAGTAGCATCAACGCTGCAGCGCTGGGAGTGTGGCGCTGCAGCGTTGATGCCACTGCTTGGTGCATGTCCCAGCACTGTCCCATTGGTGAAAGGAACAGGATGAACGCTGCAGCGCTGGTGGCAAGAATGCTGCCAAGAGCACTTCTGTTCATTGTCCTTGCTACCAGGCCGCACAACATCCTTCGCGTGTTCAACTCTTTTTTTTTTTCAAATCTATGTTGATAAAATCAAGACAAACTACAAAAGGGCCCATCAAAGACTATGGGTTGTTTCTGCTTTTGGGTGGCTTTACTTTCCTAATCCCTTCCCGAATTAAAGAATGCATGCTTAGAAAATCTCTATTCACTCTTTAATTTTTTTTAATTTTATTTTCTTATTAATAGGTTGAACTTGTATTTAATTTTATAAAATGATTTTTATTAAATAATAACTTTACTGTAGAATTTATCCTAAAAAATACATGTTAAACTTATATTTTAATATATAAGGGTAGTTTTGGAAATTAACATTACATTCCCTGTAAAGTACTTGTAAAACAAACACTGCAATGTTATCTTCTTTGCATTTTAATCATTACATTACTTATATACCAAACACTGTAATGTTATCTTCTCTGCAATCACATTGCTTGCAATCACATTACCTGTAATCACATTGCATTGTAAAGTACCAAACGCCACCTAGGTTCTTTCATATGGAAGTGAGAAAAACTTCCGAATCCAAAAAGAAGATGGAACTTTGCTCGAGGATCCGGCTTTGGTTCAAGCTTCAGCAGTTGCAAGCAGAATCTTGTGATAATTCCAGGTTTATCACATTGATATCTCTAGTGAAGATGTTGTTTATTGGGATCTCACTTCTAATTGTCAATTTACTACCAAGAGCTTGTGGGAATTAATTTGGCAGCGTCACCCTTCGCATTATTATTGTAAGTTTATATGACATCAAACTATACCGTATATTTTTTTTTCTAGATAATGGTGCGTAGTTGGATCTTGATGGAGTTATGAATTAAATCAAAAGACATTCAATTGACCTTTAAATGTTTATGTTGTAATTCTGATTATGAGGAATCCCTTATGTACGTCTTTCGGGATAATCCAATTGCTAAATAAGTTTAAAATTATTTTGTAATTTTTTTTCAAATTTATATTATTAATCCTCATAACATTATGCAAGTTATCTAAATATGAATATATTTAGGAGACTTTGTTCAACAATGACATATTTGAATATTAGTGTCATTATTTATTTGTTGGTTCCTGTGAGTGGAATGTAAAGAAAAAACATAAGAACCTTGGAATGTATAACAACCTGATTGTGTGACGTATTATGAAATTAATAATGCAACTTCATTAAGTTAATATGAAATTAATGATGCTTTAATAGTGGTACTAGTAAAGGATCACATGATATACGATATTTGCTAGTTTCTATAAGGAAGTGTTTGTAAAAAATTTTTTATAGAATTTCTCACATTCATTGAGAAGGAAACCAAGGAACGGAGAAGAATTACAAGGTATTCTACATTTAGCTAAAATTAACTTACCACATGTTAAACTTAACTAAATGTAAAGGAATATTCCTCTTTATTTATTTTTGCAATTTGTTTTATATAGACTCATGTTATAGGACAATATAACTTATCTTTTGCATTCTTAAACATGTAAAGAAATATATATCCTTATTAGATATTTTTTCCTCAATTTCATGTAACTTTGAAAGTATATATGTCCCCTTCCCAAATGTATGTTTTATTTTTTTTTACTTTATTAATAAAATTTAATAAGATAGTTGAGCCTTGCAAGAATTTCCAACATTAAAAAAAAAGTTGACAAATACAATTAATTTATATTAACAACTATAGATTTGAATCCTTTAATTTATATTAATGTTATTTACTAACTTTTGTCATCATTTTCTTTTCCGAAATTGATAAAATAAAAATTTTTATTTTTATTTAAATAAAATAATAAGTTAAATCTTAAAATGAAAAATTTGACAAATGTCGCATAATGTACTAAAATGAGCATACGCCATGTTCAAGAATTCCTTACATATCTTAAAAGAATTTAAATAAAGTTGCTTAAATGAAGTTCATAAAAATTTTAAATAAATATAAAAAATTTCACTATATTATGTCTCAATGTTGAAATTTGCTATTTTATTTCAATTGGGTTGAATTCTACCATCATACTATTTTTTTTTCTTTTAATGAAAATTAATGGAATAGTTCACTTGAAGTTAGGTGACCACTATCTTGGCTATTTTTTATGAGCTGGTAATGAAAAATTGATAAAAATACTTGAAATTAAAAAAAAAATTGACGTGTCAATAATTATAAGGTAGGACTAAAAATACTATAATTGTCGCGTCTTCAAAACTTATACAAATTGAATATAATATTCCCTAATCCACTTAATAATTTTTTATTGTTAATTTTTGTCCAAAAATTTTATTTTAAACAAAAATTCCCACTTTTGGTTTTTAATAAAAGATTTAAGTTCTTGATACTTGTGGCTTTTATTTTTTTGCTATTTATCTTTAATTTTTTTCTTTTTTTTATTCTTTTTTTTAAAATCCAAAAAAATTTTAAAAAAAGATAAAATAGGAAAAAAAAGGATATATTACAACAGAATGGAATTATTGTGACGGAAGGCTCAAGTTTGAATCAGCCTGAACCAAAGCCACGGAGGAAGGGAAAGAGAGTGGTGAAAGAGGGAGGACCACGCAACGCAAATTCGTAAACCCTAATAACCTCTCTCTTTCTCTTCTTCTTCAAAATTTTTAGTAACTTTTTTTATTGATCGATTGAGAATTGGGGAAAAAGTTGAGGAAATGAGCAGCCAAGCGGTGCCTCCTCCGCCTGCATCCCGCAGGAATTCTAATAAAAGAGGACCCTCTGCCCCTAAGAAGTCTCACAGCTCCGATAATGCTAAGCCCACTTCTCCATCGTCCGTTTACTTTTCTTACACTTCCTATTTATTTACATGAAAAATGTGTTTTCAATTTTTAATTTGTCAAACGGTGTCTTAATAACGTAGAGGCTCAATTTTTTTTTGGTCAGTTCCGTTGGTGGTGAGAGGACGGTGAAGAAGCTTAGGTTGTCCAAGGCCCTCACCATCCCCGAGGGGACCACTGTGTCTGAGGCTTGTAGGCGGATGGCAGCTCGTCGTGTGGACGCTGTGTTGCTCACGGATGCCAATGCCTTGCTCTCTGGGATCATTACTGACAAGGTTTTACCTTTTTTTCCCCTTTCAAGTGTTTTTATTGGTTGCATGTTGTTATTTTAAAGGTATGTACATATATATGTCATTGCCAGGACATTGCCACTAGAGTAATAGCAGAAGGGTTGAGGCCTGAGCAGACAGTTGTATCTAAGATCATGACGCGTAGTCCAATTTTTGTTACCGCAGACTCTTTAGCCATTGAAGCTCTTCAGAAGATGGTTCAAGGTACTTGAGGGTGTTATTTGTATGTCGTCTAATTGACATAACCTGATTGAAACTGATTTTTTTGTTTTTTAGTTTGAAATTTGTTGTTTAGAAATAATTGGAGGTTATGCAAATGAGGTTGGACAGAGAAAAACCATTAGAATTTGGTTTTTGACAGCATTTGGAAGGAGATTTGATGTGTATGTAAGGGTTGACATTGAGTGGTGATAATAAGCATTGGAAGAATCTTGCCTTCTTTTATGACTGCTAGAGTTGATATGCTGAAAGTTGTAGGTAGCTTATAGCTGTGAGAAAGATACAAGACAAGACCAAGATTTGGTGTTGAATTTAGATTTTATGCGGGGTCTTGGTATAGCTCCAACCATAACAGAGAAATTAGGATTTTGTTGAGGCTGGTTTCACAGTTTATGTAAGGAATCATCTGTTAGCATCAAACATTAGGCTTTGGCTTAACTGTTGGAAGAAGTGGAGGTTGTATGCAGTGGGCTGACCCGAGGTGACTGTTGGAATTTGGTAAAAGGGTATCTTTGTTTGTTTTAATTACTATTACAATAACCTTCAACTTTCAGTATGTCTGTATGTTTTTAAATATCCAGGGACATTTTTGAAATGTCCATTGTCCAAAACTACTATAGGGTTTCCCTAATTAACTGTAGAACTGGAAGCAATGACTGAATATATGCCAGAGCACAGCTAAGGCTAGTTGCAATAGCAATAATGTTTTGTAAACTTCAAGTGCTAGTGTACACATTGTCTAGTAGATCTCATTGACTGGTTTTTTGGACAGGAAAATTCAGACATCTTCCTGTTGTGGAAAATGGAGAAGTCATTGCCTTGCTGGATATCACAAAATGCCTTTATGATGCTATCTCTAGAATGGAGAAAGCTGCTGAGCAAGGAAGTGCAATTGCTGCAGCAGTGGAAGGGGTTGAACGCCAGTGGGGAAGCAATTTATCTGGTTGGTTAATATGTTTTCCTGTGGGCTAATTACCATAACTTTGTAATGGATCAATACCACTGCACACATATCTTTGATAAGCTCTTATTATTGCCTTTGTTGTACGAACATCATTCATCAATGGAGACACTGATTGATTAGTTCTGAATGCATGTGAAGTGTGAACATTCGTGTTCATTCTTTACTATTATTATGGTATAAATGTCTGTGTCAGTAAAATGGATTATTGGCATTATTTTATACCAAGTTTATGTGTTCTTTTATTTAACTCAAAGTTGGCACTTGGAAATGACCATAATTGATACGAATTATTATGATATGCATTTTTTGTTCTGTTTGCATTTTTGGCACATGTAAATGATCCATTTTGCTCAATCAAGATGACCAACATTTTCAAATGTAAAATTTCTAGATTTTGATGCTTAGTGTGATGCCCTTTTTATCTGTGTTAGATGTACATGGACATTAATTTTTTTTCTTTTAATTGTCCTTTTTAAATATTATTTCCTGTTTTTATGTGCTTATTTTATATTTTTTTATTGGGCTAATTTTGCCTTATTACTTGGCGCATAGTGGAATTGTGTTGGTATGCTCCCTAGTAGGTTCTTTTTTGGCCATAAAGCATTGATTGATATTGTTGTTCTATCACAATTCATTCTTCAAATGAACTTGCTTTGCCTGCTGTTTTGAATAGAAGAAGTTAGTTACTAGTTGTTGTGTGATGCATCATAAATGCTGTACTTGGTGGACAAGGCGCCAATTTAGTGTCTCACTCTTACTCTCCCTGTCTTGTGAAGTTGAGATTTGTAGTTAAATTTAGACATCTGCGTTCAGATCTAAACTTAAAATTTTAAGGAACCTTTTTCCACCCATAGTTTCTTATTGAAAATTTTATAGGAGTTGTATAATTTCATTTTTCTCAAGCAGTACATCTAGTTTTATTCCTCTGGTATGCTAAGCATAAAAAGTATATCTTTGCTAATGGAAAAATGTATCTTATTAAAATTGAAAATAATGATTCATTTTGTTTAAGTCCTCTATGGACTTTGTTTTGCTGGGTAAACTATATAAGTTTGAAGTTTCATAGAAACAATGTCTTTTTCTATTCTTAGAGGGTGTTTGAAATGGAAAGTTTCCATGAAAGTTTTTGGAATTTCTATTGGCATTTGAAGTTTCCTGTTTGGAGTGCAAAATAATTTCAAGTTCCTACTAACTTGAAATGCGTTCAATTTGGGGAACTTGGTTCCCACATAGAGGGTGGGTATTTCCTATTTCCCATCATTTTAGGAATTTCCTCACATTTTGTTGTAAAAGTTTCTTCACTATTTTAATCTTTTGGACAAAAGTAGGTCTTGTGCCTGAAAGTAAAACAAGAGGGTTATTCTTGCTGTTTTGGCAGTTATTTGTGGACATTATTCCGGAGTAGGAAGAAAAATACTTTTGCTTTTGTAAGTACTATTAACCAAATGGTTTACATGTTGATGGGTGATAGATCTTGTCAATTACCATTGTATTTAGGATTTGTGTTTGAAGGTATCTATTTTTGCTTTATGTTCTTAATGTGAATGGTTTATGCTTGTCAGTATAATTTTTGGTTAAACAAATAATTTTTGGATTTAATTTCTAGATGCTTGGATGTATTTTTAAAATAGATTCATGTATATATTCAATTTGTTTTGTGCTATATATATTTTTAAATGAAGTACTTGAAACTAAGTTATGTTATTTTAGTTTTTCTTTTTAATTATTGACAATGTTATAAATTGTACATAGTTGTGCATTTGATAGTAGAGTTGAATGACTAATAAAATTGTTTAAACACTTCTACCACCACAGGGCATTATAGGAATTTTATTGTCATGGATTACTATTCCTGTCACTTTGTAGTGTTGCATCAAACATAGGAAAATTAGGGTTGTTGGTATATGGCATCTTGTTCCAAAGATAGGTTCCTGTATGTGTTGTTGGCAGTCTTTCTTTCTGGGAACTAAGAACTTTCATGGGAAATCGACCCTCTTCACTTGAAACGCCCCCTTAGAAATTTTCAAAATGCTATTCGATCTTAGTAGAGAGAAGCACCAAGCAAATCATATTTTGGTCCCATATTTTATAACCTTTTTCATTAAAAAAAAAAAAAATTCTTCTCAGGAATTTGAAGGTTAACAATGAGGGAAGTGAGTCATGCATTGGCTAACTGGAAAATACTTCTTTTACCTAGAGCAGTTCGGCTAGAGGCAAAGCAATATTAGGAGATGAATAGCTGCCTTGTAGGATTCTTGACCTACAACTAGACTCACTTTGCTTCTGAAATTTTGGTCAATTGGCTGTTATGTTGATGTGTTTATTCTTCTTTATTCCAGAGTCTAAATTGTGATGTTGGGAAGTTGAATAGCTTTAGAATACCAAATTTTATGAGTTTTTGGGCCATCAGAAGACTAGATAATGATATAAGCTATGAAATTGGTTTTACAGAAATAAAACAATTGTCTTTGGATGTTGCTTCTATATATCCTTTACCATGATTTGGGTAAATCTTGCATGAGGGAGAGAGACAAAGAGAAAGGAGATGAGTTTTGACATGTGTTGACTGAGAGAGGAACCGAGGTCATGGAGAAGACAAGAAAGGAACTTATACAACAATGTTTTCCCATCTTGTCGGTGGTGAAGGATGATGCGATCTTGGCTTCTATAGATTTTCAAGATTTATTGGTCATTGGTGGCCTTAAATGCAAGAAGTAGTATGGAGAAGATGAAGAATCAGGGAGGAGAGGGGGGAAGAGGGAGTAAGGGAGGGGTGGTGGGGAGAGAGACTCATGGATTCAATGCGACATCATGCCTTTATCTTTGACACTAGCACTACTGGTGAAAAGATGGCAGTGAGTGGTGACAGGAGGGGGCTAATAGCGATTGTAGGTTGTTGGTTTTTTCATCCCTTTTCTTTTTCTCAGACTGAAATTGGCTTGAAGCCTTTAGGCCATTGTTTTAAAAGTTATGGGCCTCATGTTTTTGGGGAAAAATAGTACTAGTCTTGTTGTAAAACTGACAATTTGGGCCATAATGAAATTATTTTTTGAGGGGGTGCGCTTGGGTGGGTGGGTGGGATAAACAACAACAATCATGTTGTCTGTAGTTATGTATAGGTGCTGTGTCTTGACTTGTTAGCAATGCTGTGTTTGACATCTTGTGTCCCTATTGGCACTTGACAATTGTGTCCATGCCTGTAATATATCATTCATACAATTACTTTTTTGGTGTGAAGAAATTATTTGTTAATTTTTATGGTTATTAAAACTTTCATTGCTGGTATTTTTAATATATAGATTGAGAGAGAAGGCATAGTTCAAGTCTCACAAATTAAAACTTCTGTAACCTTCTAGTTTTCCTTGTAATGATATGTCCATACATCTATATATATTGAAAATGTTCATATGTAGTGTCAAAAGTGTGTGTAACATTTCTGTATTTCTGATGATCAGGCATACTGGAATGGTGCTCTCACAATATAGTTATGGGATTTTGAGAAGATTGAAACCTGTAGCTTCTTGATTAACATTTTGTTTTATTTATTTTTTATTTCAGCTCCATATGCCTTCATTGAAACTTTGAGGGAGCGGATGTTCAAGCCATCCTTGTCAACTATCATTGCTGAAAATTCAAAGTATTTTTATGTCTCAGTTGTCTTATAACCTGTTATTTACAAATACAATTTCCTTAAATAGTCAATGCTGGTTTTGTCATTTGTGTTACCAGTTCTTATAACTTTGTCCTTTTTCAGGGTTCCAATTGTATCATCATCGGATCCCGTCTATGTTGCTGCAAAAAAGATGAGGGAGTTGCGGGTTAATTCAGTTGTTATAGTGACAGGGAACAAAATTCAGGGGATACTAACGTAACTTTTTTTTGAACTCTTGAAACCTTTCATGACTTTATTATTATTATTTTGTGAGATATTCTGCACCATTGTATGTATTTGGTGTGGCTTTAAAGGTCTCTTTGGATATATATTGTGATTGCTTATGGTTGCTTTACTGCTATGCACTGCAGTTCAAAGGATATCCTTATGCGAGTTGTGGCACAAAATCTATCTCCTGAGCTAACTCTGGTGGAAAAGGTTCATTCTAGATATTTTTGGTCTGATTTGCATTATAGTCTTTACCATTCATCCTCCACTGATATGTACAGGAGATATCGACATTGAATTTTAAAAATTATGTAGAAAAAATTTATAATTGTCTATTTTAATATATTATAGAACTGAGTTTGAGCTCTATATTATGCACGAATACTTTAGCAGATACCTTGCGCCTCGTATATTTGTATTATCATGCTTGATAATTTTCACGATTAGATTTTTTATCGTGGAGTACCATCTGATAATGGTTTGGAAAGTATATCAGGGCTATCCATTGTTTCTTTACATATAAATGTTATTAGTGGCTTTCTAGAATTTATTTGCATGTTTTGTAATTACCAGTTTTTAGTGGTGTTTGAGTTTTGGATTGGTAATTCTAGTTATCGTATAGCTTTACTGTGGACAGTTATCAGTGGTTTATGTTGCTTAGTCTATTATAAACTATGCAGTAATGATTGAATTAAATTGAAACAGGAAAACTTTTTGATTCTGTCAAGTTTTAATTTTTACAAAAGGATCAGTTGGCTATACATTGCACCTTAACTTACTTTGCTGAATTGTTTTGCTGATATCTGACTTCTGTTTTGAATATATATCATCTATTCTTGACATGAGAAATGGGTCCAAGACATGATCTGCAACGTTTGAGCATAAATTGTTTGTGGTTCCTAACTTTTGATACTTGTCATAATCACACTAGTTTTTTTCTTTATTATCCAGGTGATGACACCAAACCCTGAATGTGCGACAATAGAAACAACAATCCTTGATGCACTGCATATAATGCATGATGGGAAGTTTTTACATCTTCCTGTTCTAGACAGAGGTTAGCTTTCTTTGTTTTAGTTCTTTTTTAGAATCGCAATTTTTTCATGTTGATGTGCATGGAGATGGCTGTTGTGCAGATGGAACTGTTGCTGCATGTGTAGATGTTTTGCAGATCACTCATGCAGCGATTTCTATGGTATGTATTTTATGTGTGTCAAACTCTGATGTATTTTATGTACATGCGTTGTATACTTAGGCTATGCCTGTTAGGCATAAGGGGGAATTGTTGGCTGTTACTTTTGCTACTCGCTTTAGCTTCGTACAAAGTCCGCTAAAAAGCAAACTGTAATTAATTTAAAAATGAAGCAAAAACTAAAATCTACACCAATCCTAACCTAACTATTCTATTAAAAAGTAAAAGCTTGCATTTTGTTCTCCAAAAAATATAACTATGACTTGTAATTATTAAGAAACTTTGTTTCTTTTTTATTTTTTGCTTTTTAACTTCCAAAAAGGAATTAGCAAAAGAAACAACAAAACAGAGCCTTAATAAACTAGTTTTATGTTTACTCTGATCTTGGAAGTTTCTTTGAACCCTATGTGTGAGGAAGACCATAAACCACATTCCAACTAATTCAAAGTTTAGATATGTTGGTGTATTCACAGGATGCATGCTCATCAACTAGAAATTATTAGATAGATCCTACCTACCACATTAGCCATAGGCTTGACAAATCAAGATGCAAGACGCAATTAAATTAAAAGTCACCATGTGAGCTTGTAAGGGTCCACCGGTAATGATAATTGTCATGTTAGATTAATGAAAAGTATGGATCTATACATGCTTACTTGGCAATTTTTAATACATGTCACATCTTGAATTTTTGGGCCTATAGTTGAAATTGTAGGAAGGTTTTATCTGCCAATTTCTCCATCAACTATAGAACCTGCTATGTTATTGCTGTTATCCCCTTTCATTTTCTTTGCTAAAATTTTTTCCCTCCAATACTATATATCATGATTAAAGGTCCTCTTCCAATTTTGGTTAGAGCCAATTTATATGTTTTGCTCTAAAGTCACCCTCCTCTTCCATAAAGCAGGACTGTGGCAATATTTTAGATTGACTGAAAACATTAAAGTGGGCATGTGGTCACAAAGGTCTCTTACGCCCCCCTTTGAGCCCACCTGAATAAGGGGGCCTATTATAAAAAATGAGCCAAAATAGTGCTTTAAACACTTTAATTGTGCGTGGACTGAGAGCTGAGTTAGGTTAGAGCTTGATCCTGGATTATGAACCTGACAAACGGGGCTTGAACAGGTTTATTCAAGCTTGAAAAGCATGGGGCCTATGCCTTGATCTCTTTAAAATTTTTGCAAGTTGAGCTTGAGCAAGAAAATTTTGGCTCAGCTTGACTCTTTTTAGCCCTATTCTCTACTGTTGAAGTTTGCAAAATTTTTGTTCTGTTAATTGATGGACTATATGGATGACAATATGAAATAAAAATTCATTAAAACAATAAAAAACCAAGTTAAAAATCAGTATTCACGCGTAAATTATATGTTGTTGAAATCTTTAATGTTGCAAGTGCTGGAGGCCATTATGAAAACTACTTTTATTCTAACCTTCTCATTGTGTTTAAGTCCCTAGGACTGACCTTCAACACATTATGCCATGAGCTTTTTCAGCACCCTCCCAGATTTCGTACTTGTATATATGGCTATATATAGGTTAAATTATGGAGTTGTTGGATAAGGCCTTGACTGATTACATTGCACATGGGTTTGTTGTTCACAAGCAACGAGCAAACTGTTAAGGGGCCATTTGGTTCACTGCATATAAGATTACACCTCGGAATTTATTTGGTTCTGAGGATTATGTCGTTTGGTTTTTTTGACATCGTCGATTTTTTGTATGTAATATTCTCGAGTTTTCAGAAAAGTGGGCATTTAAGGGGTAATCTCATACCCGCCCTCCTCTTAGGTTATCTTTTTACTTCTGAGGGAATCCAAGTTTTTTTACTATAATGCCCCTATTTGGACATTGTTTTGGTCCAAATTGCCCTTGAAATGTAAGATAAAATTACAAGAAAGCCAATTTCCAGTATTTTATTTTATTTTCTCAAATCAAACCCAAATAATTTTTTATATAAATGTAAAACATGATTTTGTTGTAAAATATTCTTTTTTTGCTTTTTATTTTCTAATATTCTCAAAGCAAATATTACCCATAATTTTTTCATAAAATCTTTTTTTTTTCTTTTTTCTAATTTGAGTTTTCTTTCACTACCCCGTCTAAAATTTTTTTATTATCTGGCAAATGAAATTTACGGTTAAATGCTTGTATGCCTGTTAAAATTATTAATTTAGTATTGTATAATGACTATTTGTAGAAAATTATACAAGCTTTTTATTATATTGGGATTTCGGAGGGCATTTTAATAAAATGATCACTATGAATGTTGCATGCCTAGGTCTACCAAATAAGGAAATACCATATGCAGGGTGTGGAAACCAAACACAACATGACATATTATCATCAATTTGCCTTAGGAATCTCTGACGAAGGAACCTGATTTCCAAAGGGCATCTAAGATGCTCTTGACCAAATGGCCCTAGAAGGAAAGTGCCTTGAGCGTGTTGAATGGAAAGGCATAAAGGCTTAAAACCCCCCCTTGTTCTTTGATGGGGATTTTAAATCCCCCTATCAATGAATTCACAACTTTTTTTAAAAAAAAAGGGAAAAGTGCCTTGTAATATAGTTACCAAATATACTATGTAATGTTTTATATATTTAAATTCTGCTAATGATGTTTCTTAATTTCTTTAGCCTTCCATATTTACTTATGCAAGGGTGTCGAACTGTTTTTACCTTTCCCATTTTAATTTTTTTCCACCCAAATTTCAACCTTTTGAAGGTTGAAAATAGCTCTGGAGCTGTTAATGAAATGGCAAACACAATGATGCAAAAATTCTGGGACTCCGCCCTTGCTCTAGAGCCGCCAGATGATTATGACACACAGAGGTATTACTCTTTCTGCCTCACTTATGCTCCCAACCTGTTATACTCTGGAACCAACCCTGCAGAATGTTCTTTTCAGTGAAATGTCTGCAATCATGGCATCAGATGGTGGAGATGCTGGAAAGCTATCATCTTATCCTTCCCTGGGCCTTGGAAACTCATTTGCTTTTAAGTTTGAGGATCTTAAGGGTCGTGTACATCGATTCAATTGTGGTATGTTGCAGTTTACGTGAAGATACTTGCAAAAGAAATTGAGTTGAAATTCTTAATATACATGTCATTTCATACCTATAAGCACCAGTACACTGATTTCTTAATGCATATCTAGAACTTTACTATCGAAAAGAAACAAATATTCCATAGCTGAATATGATGTAAACATGTTTGCAGGCTTTGCTAGTATTTTTTGTCATAATGTTGCATGTATGCAAACGTAACGTATTTATATTTTGTTCTTTAGGTACCGAAAATTTAGATGAGCTTTTATCGGCTATTATGCCAAGAATTGCTTCCAGTAATGATCATGGGCGTCCTCAGCTTTTGGTGAGTTGTTGGATTTATTTATTCCTTTTATGTTTTACTCTCTGTGGTTTTGTCTAATTTTCTTGTTTGTACTCATTTATTGATTTTTTACTTTTAATTTAGTATGAAGATGATGAAGGTGATAAGGTTTTACTCACCACTGATAGTGATCTTATTGGTGCTGTTAACCATGCTAGATCACGAGGACTGAAGGTAACTAATTGTTTGTGTGGTTGCTTTACATTGGACTACTTGTTCTCTCTTGTTTAACCATCTATTGCTGCTGTTGGTTTCTTTTTTCTTTTTCTTTTTCCTTTTAATAAATATTTGTGTAGAACACATTTCATAATTTTCTACTATAACAATACAAGTTCATGGAGCCCAGCTTCAATTTGTAAGATTGGCTTTATTGAACTTCAAAGTTTGGTTTTAGTTGATCTCACACAAGTTGAACTTTGTTGAAGGTTGGGTTGTCTGTGGCCTAGTGTGACTTTCTAAGGAGGCTCGTACTTAGTTCTGTACTTGGGCTCGAGATCAAACCCATAAGAGAGTGACGTAGGAAAAAGATAAAACTGTTTATATGAGAAATAAGGAGCCAAAATTGGGAAAGACAGCGCTTGATCCTGATATTATTCAATAATACTAAAACTGAATCCTCTGCACTGTTCTTCAAAGAGCATCTCTCTCACATAACTACTGTTCTAGGAACAGTAATATCTATTTTTTAATTTTAAAATTGTTTGTAGTTTTTATGCTTTCTTGCTGGCTACTTTGCCTTCCTAGATAGGATGCATTATCAACGTGGAATTGCTCCTGACACAGCAGTCATGACAGATTGGCAGAGCTTAGGGTGGTTTTTTTGGTTGGAACTATGTAAAAAATAAAATAAGGTTTGGAGGAATCTTGGCCATTTATTTCTTAGCTTTAACCAATTTTCTCATATTTTACAATATTTTGTTGTATTGGATTGGGGTATTTGGGATCAACGGCCACTTAACCTATTTAATGACTTAGTGGGCATCATTTCTGAAATTGTTTTTTTTTTCTATATATTTTTTTATGCATTCAATTTATGGGCCCTAAAAGGAACAAATGCAGTCTATATATAAAGATTTAGCTTTAAACTTCGAGATATTCATTTACAGTATTTACTTTGTTTATGGTTGATAGTTTATATTGATATCAATAGATTATGTTTGTCTTTATTTCAATGATAATGGAGAAAATAGATCTAGAAGGCTTAAATTTATAATCGAAGATAAATAAAAGGATTTTCGAGGTAAATGGCAGATAACATTTATTTTTTAATTTTCTTGCTTCGGCTAAACCTTCTCTTTACTACCATATATTATATTTGATATTAATCTGAAATTTTGTGATTCATTGCAATGTGCAAATTTAATTCTGGTGTCATTCAAAATGTATAACCCTCTCTGCCTTTCTCCCAGGTTTTAAGATTGCATCTGGATTTTGCTGATCATGATCAGCAGAAAATATCAGAGTCAAGTATAACTTCCAAGAGAACTGGATGGGTCTCTTTGCACTCTGGCTTAATGGCAGGTGCAGTTGTCATAACTGGCATCAGTGTGCTTGTCTACTTAAAGCGCTCAAACGCGTGAGGTTGTGCTGATTTTTCTGAGAAATAGAAAATGTTATAAATCATAACATTGATTATTTAGCGGCTTTTATCAGCATTTGAAGGTTAGGAAGGAAACAGGAAGTTTTGACACTAAGTTCAAATCACCAGTTGAGCTGGAGACGAGAGAAGAACGAGCAGAGAAACGGTTGGAGCTGCTGTTGATGTCCGGTGGCAGGTGTGATACTCATACTTCTTTTGAGTACAGTACTCACAGAAGTCAATTTTGTTCCCCATGTAACTTACAATCTATTCCTCCAACATGTCCACATAAGGGTAAACAACAATTGTATGTAAATATTGGGTAAAACTACTTTGTATAAGTCAAGGAAGCCACTGCTTTTACTCAGTAAGCTTATCCTTCTGAACATTTAATAATCTATGAAGACTTGCTGCAGGTTTTCCTCCCTTTTTCGGAGGGTGACATCGTTTGAGAGATGAAAGTTGAGGCAGAGTAAATTTTGAAGTTAAATGTGGTTCATAGCCCATATTTTAAAGTCAACATATATATATTTTAATTTTTAGAAAATGCATTAAAATATTTATACACTTTTTATTGTTAATTTTTTTTTTATGTGTGTGAACCTTTGTTAATATTTATTTTTAAGAGAAAGGAGATTTGAATATTACTATAAAAAAATAATCTTAACATTACTCTCTCAAAAAATACCGTCTCTCAATTGAACTCTCTTCTCTCTTTCTCTTAAAAATAAGTTTTATGTTATATAAAAATATTTTTTATAATTTAAAATTTTATTTTAAATAAATAAAAAATAAATTTAAAAAAATTATAATTAAAAAAAATTATTTATTAAATACCTTTTATAATAATTTTAATCAAAATTGAAACTTATATAAATTGTTTTGTCAATAACTTATAAAAGTAAATTTGCTGAATAATTTTAACTTAATTTTAAAAATTATTAGTTTTAATAAGAGTTTCATAATAACACATTTATTGTTACCCATAATAACTCTCAATTGTTGAGAAAAAAAAAACAATTTTAAAGATTTTGACAAGAAAGCACTTCTTGTAGAAGAAAAAAAAATCAAAATTACTTATAAAAAAAATTTACTTATCATGTAACTCAATAATGTTATTTTGATTTTTAACATATATTCATCCATAAAAACCAGTATATAGTCATATTAATTAACTCGTTTATTATTTTGTGACCAAATATTCATTTTCAAGTTTAACGGACTTAATCTGATTTGGGTGAAATTTAACCTTTTAATTATTAATTAATAAAATATGCAAACCAAAACAAGTAAACCGTTTTTTGAAAGTCGGTCCGCGCGCTATCCCCCCCTTCTCTCTGTCTCTCTCTCTCTCTGCCTTTTGCAGTTTGAATTTGCAGATTATCACCCATAATCCCTTTATTTTGCTTTGAATAGCAGTGTAAGTTTGTTAATTATTATTATTATTATTATTAATTATTGCTATCATTTTTAGTCCTCTATAATTTCACACTTTCCCGTTTCGGACATACCCTCAATGTAGTCTCTCCTACTTTATCTGTTGGATTCTTGTGCTTTTCTTTTCTTTTTCCTTTCTACTCAGGTTTTTCCTGGAATTATGAGATTCTTGTATTGACTCTTCCATTTTGGCAGTAACCATTATAAAGAGATTTCAAAATATTCTAATGAATTTGTTGAGGTTGGTGAATTCCCATTCCCTATTTACAAGTCAACTGTAATTTTCTGATTATTTCTTTAGCCCTTTTTGTTCATTGCTTTCTTATTATAGCCATTTTACGTAATTTTATGTAGACTAGATGTCTGAGTTTCTGAAATGGAATGAAACTTTGTCTCAAGGGTTCCTCAATATATGACAAAAATTAGGATATGGGACTTTAATTTGTTATTGATTTTGATGATTCTTTCCCAGAGTTTCAATGAAGGAGATGGAACTGAAGGATTTGCAATCTGATCTTGAAGCTTTAAGAAAATTATATGGACTTCTACAATGTGGTGGAGATGTTCAAAGCAATGTCGTTGTAAGTAGTCTTTCCTTTTTCATCTTAGTAGCTTTGATGGACAGCGTGGTATGGTGGCAATAAGAATTTTTGGTTACTTTTGTTTTCTCCAAAGCCAAGCGCTCCACTCTCGATACATGCAGTTGAGTGTCATTTCCCTTCTAATAACCATTATATATACATAGTCTATGGAAAGTTTCTGTAGACAACGAAGGCAGAAACATTCTTGCCTGTCTTCTTTTCGAGTTATGTTGATTTTAAAGGAATTAAAGGCCTAACGAGTTTCCATCAACAGCTTTTGGCAATTTAAGTGTATAAAAGATATTAAACATGTGATTGTTGATGGCACTCTGTACAATAAAAGTTTGTCAGTTTCATGTCTGGTGTCTATTTGGTAGAATCAGAGATTAAAAAGCAATTTGTGTGATCTTGCATTATAGCTTAGACATTTAGTTCTTTGACATGGTTTAGCACTCAAGAATTCAAATTCTGAGGGCTGCCACCTATAACCTTATGCTTGAGGAGGAACCTTTTCTTGAGCTCTAATGTAATAGCCTAACCCTTTTGGTTGTCATCTTTGACATAGGCATTATGAATGTTGCTACTTTTGCATTTAGCTTTCAAAAACTTAATGTCTCAATTTAATTGTTAAATGCTGAAAATTTTTACTGCTTAGTTCTCTCTTGAAGGAATGAGGTATTTTAGATGCCTTCCATTCCCTTTTGAGTGTCTTTAATTGTTTTCAGGCAATAGGAATTTACTCAAGTTTAGCAATATGGAAGATATACTTTCCCTTTTAATCGGTCTTATGTACATTTACTTGGCCTTTGTTGGTATGCAGTTAGGTGAAAGATCAAAGCTCTTACTAAAGGATCTCCTAGATGGTGCTACACAGAGGGTCTTGGAGACGCACAAAAAGGTATATAGACCATGTCAACGTGTGGACTTCTGTCAGACTATTTGGCTCTCTATTTCCTATCATTTTCTTCGATGTTTACTAATAAAATGATTGAACAGTGATGCTCCTGCTATTGATTGTGATATAATGAGCATTCTATAATTCAGTTGGATTTAGATTTGTTAATTCAAGAAAATGAAGTAGTTCCTTCTCAATGATTGTAATATTTGTTATCAATTAATTTGTGTCTCAATTAATTTGTGTCTCAATTAATTTGTGTCTCAGATAATAGCAGCAGCAGAACATGGTGTCTGTGCCACATCCTGCTCTTCTGAATCGGAAAAATGCAGGGCTGTGCCAGATTCTCAGCCTTCTGTCTTGCCGTATGAATTAAAAGCTGCACCAGGTGTAATTTGGAACTCCATGAAAGAATCAAATCACCATGCAGTTAGATCACCACAAGATGAAGATTGTTCTAATAAGCCAACAACTAAAGAAGTTGTCTCACAGCAATCTAGACTGAGCTTTTCCTTGGACAAACCAGAGAATAGAATGAAATGTAGTGAGTTCAGCAAGCAAAGCAGTATGAAGCAGCGGAGTACAGCCAGGATTTTAAGCAGAGACTCTAAGCATCAAAGTCAGCGAAATCCTCTTGGCCATTTTTATCAAGCCAGTGGGGATGAAAGGAACTTATTAGAGAGAAATGAAAAATGTATGAAACTAGTGAAAAGCAATGAAACAATGAGGCAGAGAAGCCTTGGCAGACTCAAAGCTACTCCCAGTATAGTCGGTTCAGTTGCTGGCTCCTCAAGATCTCTAGCTTCTGGAGATAATATTGCTAAACAGGAAGAGAAAAATGGGGAGGCAGCAAATAATTTTTCCAAAGATGTAGATAATGTAGTCAAGCACATTGAATCCCACATTTCAGCTTTGCGTTTCTGTTCTAAGTTGGTGGATGCTACCAAAGGTGCTGTGCCACGTGGTTTGCGTGATATGCCTACATCAGTGTGTCCTATGGTACAGGCAAAAGAGCATTTGGTTAAAAAGAGTGAATTGAGCCATACTGTTGAGCCTTTTTCAGATAAGGATGAGTTACTGCTAATTCAGCTGGAGAATCAAGGAATTGGTAAGAAAGATGACTCCCATGGGAGTCATCAGGTGTTAGGTCAAAGTGAGAACGACTTGTTGGAGGATATTATGAGCAAAAGGAGAAGGATTCAGCAGAAGGAGCTAGGTCAAACTTCCGAGCATATTGTGAGTACTGAGTGGCTGAATAAAATGGTCGGTAATCAGAATGTGAATGGCATGGTAGAAGCGGGTGATCATAAACAAAGTCACACTACCAGCTGCTATGTTCACGGGTTAAGGGTTCCAATTAAGCAGGATAATATCACCAAGAGGCCTCCCATGCCTGTGAAAATGCCCTATCCAATCCCAATGAAAAATAGGGGGAAAGAACCGACACCAAAGATAGGAAAATTGAGACCTTCAATACCATCTCAGTCAGTCGGATCCAAGGCTTCAGTTAGGCCTATTAGTGATAAGAAAGGCCAGGCACGTCAGATTCTATGGAAGCAGAAAGAAGGGGGTATGGGAATTTTGCGCAATAAGATTCTATTGCATCAGCAAGACTCTGAGGATTCTGCTACTGCTGGCAGTGGCAGCAGTGACAGTGAGGCTTATTCTTTGCCAAGTCAGGACAGTGCAGCTTCAGTATCCAGGAGGCTTGCTCATGGAGCATATGAAGAATCAACTAGCAGTGATTACAGGGATGTTGGTGAGTCAGGTAGCAGTGATTACAGGGATGTTGGTGAGTCAGGTAGATCGTATCCTACCAGAACACACAAAGCAATCCGTCCGGTAAACTCTGAGCCTGACAAAGCCAAGGGAAGGCTTGGACGGTTGAGGAGGTTTAAGAACAAGTTAGGGCTAATTTTTCATCACCATCACCGTTCTGATCACAATGACAGCGGTGATCATTCCAGGGATGTTCACACCAAATCCAAATGGACTCATCTGCACAAGGCTTTTCATCCTAGAAACAGACATGGAGTCCATGATAAAATAAGAAAAGCGAGGGTGAGTAACGTGCCAGTGAAGCATCAGGGAGGGCATTTTCATGCATTGGTGGAAGGATTGATGCAGCACCTTAAGCATTCAAAGAAATCAAAGCCTTCCAAAGGTGGGATTGGATGGCCAGGGAATGGCCAAGATGTCCATAAAAACAGGAAGGTGAAGGAAATACACTGGTGGCAGATGTTTCAGCGCCAACGTGGAGTCAAATTACCCAATAAAAGGCGTGTCAAGATAGGGTTCATGAGTAAAAAGCAGCAACTTAGGGTACCTAAGTTGAGATAGCAAACAGCAGGGCAGGGTGACATCATGTACTGAAATTCTTTTGAGAAAAAGGAGAAAAATGTAAATTAGTCTTAATCTAAGTTATTTCATTTTATTTTTTCTTAATTTTTGTAAAATCAATTCGATCATTATTATAATAACAATAAATAAGTAAATTGTATAATAATAAATATTCAATATTAGAAAAAAGAAGGAAAAGTAAAGAAAAAAAGGGGAGAAATCAACCCCAAAAAAAAAAAGAAAAGAAGAAAACTGAGAGGGGAATGCATTAATTTTAATTATCCTAATAAGCACTGTAATTTAAATAAAATTTTCTCATAATTATACTAATCATCATATATGAAATTGGTACAATGAACTTTTTCATTTTGTTGGTATTATATTGATTTAAGAAACATTTTAATATTAATTAAATTAAAGTTTAAATACTCAACTAAATTTAAAATTTTAATTTTTTTTCATTTACTTAAAAGCGCATAAATCTATGATATATTTATAAATTGTAATTAAAATTTTGACTTTTATTAAAATTAATTGAAATATAATGTAACATGTAAGTTGTGGGCTGATGATTTATTAAAAATTAATTTCAATTCACCTGAGTTTTTAACTCATTTATTGGTGTATAATGTTCGAAATACTTTTTTTTTAAAATTTTTAAAAAACTTAATATTTTATTTATAATAAGGTATAGTGGATATTTATTTATGCATATTATTTTTAATTTCAGAGGCCAACGGATGCGAGGGTCGGCCCAGTGGCTTCCCCTTCCCCATCGGTGCTTTGAGCTAAGGCAAGGCGGAGAGAGCAGCATCCATTTTGCCTTGTTACTTGTTTTAGCCGAATTTCAGTTGTGACTCGTGAGTTACATAATACATAGTGGAAATTTCTTAAGTTCAATGCCAAGAAGCTTATCCCGGTCTCGATCTCGGTCTCCGTCGTACCGGTCGAGGCACAGCCGGCGAAGCCGAAGAGAGCATACCAGGAGAAGCCGTTCAACCTCTCCACGTCGGCGTAGAAGCCGTTCGCCATCTCATCGACGCCGTAAAAGCCGCTCTCCAACTCCAAGGAGACACCGGAGGCGAACCTCCTTCTCTCCTTTGCCCAAATCTCCCTCCCCAGCTATTCCCGTCCATCAAAATAATAGGTAAACTTTCCATTTCTTGTTCTTTTTTCTATTGTATTTCGTGTAATTGGGTAAATAATGTTGTTTTGGTTAAAAGTATTTACTTTAGGTATGGCAATTATACAGGAATAATTTGTTAATTTGTATATTCTTCAAACTACAATTTCTTTTAGGCTCGATTATCTATTTGATTTTTACTTGTTAAAAAGTTGTTCTAAAGCAAAAGGTTAGAAACGTGAGTCATAGTTGATTAAAGGAAGCAAATGGCTAAAACATTAAGCATATTCATACATACATACATACATATATTTGTTTTATGTAAAACTTAAATAAATCGAATTCCCATTCACAAAATTAAGTTAAATTTTCATTTTTTATATTAAGAGAGATTTTATTTATCTTCTGTTGCTTTTTGTTTCTGTTTTTAGGCTTCAACAAGAGGCTGAACTGAAGTTATTAGAGGAAGAGACCGCGAAGAGATTGGAGGAAGCAATTCAGAAAAATGTTGAGGAGAGGTTGAACTCGGAGCAAGTTAAGTTGGATATAGAGAAGCGGATAGTGGAAGGGCGTAAGAAGCTGTTGGATGATGTTACCATGCAACTCGAAAAAGAAAAGGAAGCTGCTCTGGCGGAGGCAAGGCTAAAACAAGTAAGCATTGAAATGTTTGTCAAATTACTAGTATTTATTATCTGTATTTGCGCCCTAGAATGAACAAGTGAAGAAGAGTATTTTTGGGAAACAAAAAAGGGAAATGATATAATGGCTGTGTATTTTGTTACAATGTAAGTGATGTCAAGGTGTTGCTGTAAGGCACTGAAGGCAAGGTGCATATTAGTATAAACACGTGTTTATTACAAAGACTAGTGCATGTACTTTGAATCAACAGAGAAGATTAATACAGTAGCTTTTAACTAGAAACAAAATTATATGGCCTTCTGTTGTAGATATAGCTATTCCATTCATTTATTAGGTTTAATTTTGGGTTTTTCCACAAAGTATAAGGCTGTTCTTCTTTTCATTTCTTTTAGCAGTAATCTTGGGGCAGAGCTGTGACTTCAAGCAAGCATTGCTAGTTAGCGTTAGTGCAAAAGATCATATAGTATCTTCAATATATAAGATATTTTAAGCAATTAGATTTAATATAAAGGGCATGGGAGAGGAGAATATAGAAGATTATCTGGCTCGTAGAGCTGAAAGGTACAGAAACTTAGTGCTAGAGTCAGATGATGACATAATTTGAACTAGCGTTTGATATTTGTAATACATTGTATCTGTTTATATATTGACATTATTAAGAAGAAGTACGTGTGCCTTGGTGTAAATCTGTTAAATATTAGATATAAATATATTTATATCTATAATAATTAAAATGCATTTTTATTGTTATAAATATTACTAATTTATTCTTTGGAATATAGTGTTTTTACGTGGGTCAAAGTTGAGTGCTTTAAAACCGAGCTCAATACAAGGATAACCTTGAGATTGCTTGTGCTTTTGACTACACAATATTTGTGTTTTCGATAAATGGGAAGAAGGCTGGTTTTCTAGGAAGCCCCTTTACTTTCAGGTCTCTCAATTCCCTCTCTGTTCTAAGCCTTTCTAAGATTATGCATGAGAAAGGCATTTAGGGAGAATTTATGACGTTTATAAGAAGGTATGATTTGAGAAAATGACGTGAGTGGGAAATTACTACTGCTACCAGGTTGATTGTCTTGTTAATTCTAACTTGCTGCCCATTTAGGGTGTAACTATACATTGGATGAGGGTTCATGTTCTATGCATTTGAAAGCTGTGGTTACCAATGCATAACTATTCACTATAAACTGATCTTTTTCTTTTTTTTGGATCTTGATCCTTCTAGTGTTTTGATATGGTATTGACAACTTGGCAGGAACAAGTCCGGAGGGAGAGAGAGGAGCTGGATAAGATGCTAGAAGAGAACAGGAGGAGGGTGGAAGAGGCTCAGAGAAGAGAAGCCCTGGAACTACAGAGGAAGGAGGAGGAAAGGTACCGGGAGTTGGAGCTGATTCAAAGGCAAAAGGAAGAGGCTGCTCGGAGGAAAAAGCTTGAAGAGGAAGAAGAACATGCGAACCAGATGAGTACGTCGGGTAAGAACAAGTCTAGACCGAAGGTGCCATTCGGAATTGGTTTGTAATTCATTCTGTTGGTCACACAGTCTTTCCTGTTTGTTAGGAATCTCAATATGAAGTCTGAATGCTTTAGTTCATCACTTGTATACCTTGACGACCCTGTTTGATTAGCCAGAAAAGGAAAATGGCACCTATTTTCTTTATTTTCTATGTAGAATTGCACGTGTGCATGTGCGTGTGAGTTTATTCCTTTCCCATTCAAAATTTATAGATAGTGATAGCAAGTAAATAATGCTTAAATTTTTAGGCCCAACTCAAATAAATTAATTTACTAATAAATTGTATATTTTTATTTAATTTTAATTTTAAAATACATTTACAAATTAAAGAATTAAAGTATTAATTATTACAAATATTGTCTAAATGGTCGGATTGAACTGCACTGTAGGTGGGCTGTACGCCCAATGGTCCCAAACAAGGCTGGGTCCATGGGCACATATATAGGAGACAAAGGCGGACAATGAAAGAGTAATTCATAGTGCTTTTATCTTTTCCATGTTCCCCATCAAAGCTTAAACTTTGCCTGGATAGAAGAAAAGAAAGCAAAGGCGGGCAATGAAAGAGTAGTTCATGGTGCTTTTATCTTTTCCATGTTCCCTATCAAAACTCAAAACTTTGCCTAGATATGTAGAAGAAAAGAAAACAAGGTTACTTATGATGAGAAATAAAAATTTTATGACGGATCGGTTGCATCACATATATATTAGGGTTTTAGTGATGCATTCGTGACAATTTCTCAATTGTCATGATGCATTTTGTGATAAACTTGTAGTGCATTTTGTGACTGATGGGTAACAGATTTGCTGTTATCTATATGAAAATGATATATACGTGTGTGTGTGTGTGTATTTACACTGAATTTTGCATCATAGAAAAAAATAATTTAAAACATTTTTGCATCGAATAAGGGAATAGTGTAGATTGTATATGTAGGGAGAGATAAATCAAGTTATTATTATTATTACTTTACGTAACGAGAGAGTTTAAAGAGAAGAAGGATTTCGAATCTTGAACCATACATATCACGTCTAACTGCAACACAAATCATATTTGTCGTGCACACGTGTTGTTCTCGTGATGAAATATTTGTATTAGATTTTTAATATCAAAATTATTTCATGGATCATATATAAATGTTGTTCTAGCTCGCTATAAAAGGAAAAAATAAAATAAAAAGGCTATCGAGGTTGAAACAATTAGTTGTCGAATTTCACTAGTCTAAATATAAGTCCATCATAGATTGTGCTAATGGAATTGTGACAAGACATGAATTATGACTTGGGGAGTTAGGAGTTAGGAGGGTGGGGGAAAAAATGAGAAGGAGAAGATACGAAAGAGAAGGATTATATATAGAAAGAGAAAGAGAGGAGAGGTCAAGATATATGCAACTGGTTGGCGCCGACCAGTGGGAGGACTGATAAATTAAAAGACCATCATGAAGTTAGCGAAAGAAAAGAGATGAGAGTACAGTCAACCTGGCATGCGCTACCACAAGAATTGCTGGCGGAGCAGGGAAAAGAAAAAGGTGCACTCAAAATATATGATGAGAGAGTGGAAAAAAGAAGGCAAGAGCTGGAGAAAAGGGTATGATTGGGGGGAAAAGCTAGTTGAAAACAGAAGATAAGCATGCACGTTGATGGGAGATGGAGGGAGTGCGCCACCACCGCCCAAATCCAATTCATCATTTGCTGCTGTGAGTCAGTCGTCTTGAATACTTAGAAAAGGCCACTTAGTATGGAATGGTCCCTTGCAATGTTTTCTCACCATCTTACTAGCTATGAACTCCATTCCTGATTTATTCCCTTTGACGTCTCCCGGATCGATCTTTGCCCTTTATATCTGATAACGACTAAAGATATGCTGCTACGGGCATTCCATATCTGATTGTCTAAACTCCTTGGAAATAATTGGCTTTCTTTTAACCTCCATCTATCTTGTTTCTAAAAGTAGGCTATCTCAATCTTGCTTGCATTGTGTCTCTAGTGTGCTTCTAATTAGTATTAGTGCCGTAGGCCCACACTTTCAATTCTCCATGTGCTAGCTCTTTCACTTATAAAGGAGAATGGTTTATTTTGATCCAAGTCTTTTTCGATCCTAACATCTCAATAAAGAATTGGAATTGATTTTGATACTACTTGTTATAAATCTATATTTTTAATCCAAAAGATATACTTATTAAATAAAAAAAAAACTTTACGTATAAGTTTAAAATTCATCTCATCTATTATTATTATGTGAAATACATGATACTAGAGAAGATCGATAATGAAAATTAAATAAGTTTTTTTTTGTTAACAATCTCAAAAATATTCTTAAATGCAATATATAATATCTATATAAAACTTAAACTCATAGTAATTAATTACCCTTGTAAATACCTAATTAATAGTTGTTACTTGCAAGATTATGTATACATGGTCTTTCACCATATGGATGATCATCTTACTCCTAGCCAATAAATAGCAAGGTAAATGCCTAGGTTCATCTAAGAGGGACTTCGTTTTGACATAGAACTTCACTTCAAAACTTTTTCTTAGTTTACAAAAAGAGTAGTGCCCCTTATAGCACTACCTCTTCCTCCAATTATAGTATTGCTCTTAGTATACATCTACCTACTTCTCTACTTCTTTTTGCTTACTTAGTTGCAATGCTATGCCCTTTATTTCTGTTCAAAACAACCTTCACAAACCCCCAAAGATAGAGATAAGGGATAGACATGTATCAAATAAAGAAAACTGTCTAACGATTGAGAGATGGCATTAAGCGGCAATCTTGCCAAGTAGTTGCATGCGTCAGTACTCATTGTCTTCTACTTTAACGTAAAAGACAACAATAAGCCAACCATGCACGCACGTATAACGACTTCTTCAACGCCTATGTACAGTGGTTTTTCCTCAAGGTGAAAAAATTATGGACAAAAGTTTTTGCAGTCTTAGTGTGGATATCACTTGTTTAATCCAAAGACAAAAGGAGAAAGGAAGGCTTTGCTTAGTTCCTTATTCTTGGAAAAGTTGGTGATATTGTCTTTGAAACGACTATTGATACTATATGTGTAAGGGATTTGTACAGAGATAGGGTGACTAATTTGAAATGGATATGATGATAAGAGATAATTGTTTAACTAGTTGACAAACCAAGAGATGTGAAGCTAACCACAAAAAGAAATACTCGATACGTTTGGGATTTTGATGATGTGGTCCTTAAGCCCCTTATACTAAATTTCATCAAGATTGAATATTATAGTTATAGCTAGTTGCTATGGATTAAACAATAATTGCATGATTGACTTTAATCACCATGTTTTCGTATATCTTGTGACAGTAAATGTACTGTATATTATTACATCACAAAAGATGTTGCTTATTTAATATTTATGTACTAAGTTTAAAAGATCATATGAGGCAAGTTATTTTATTACAAGTCATGCAATTAAAGGTTAACTTCATGGTAAGATACACAGGAGGAGGCAATTTAGGGTTTAGAATAATAAATAAAATGGGTTAGAATGTCTGTCTGTCTGTTTTGCACTTGGAAAGCCAGGTAACTATTTGGATTGGATTTGTTTGCATTGCTTTTGAGTTATTCCAAAGTGTAGTGGCAATGTAAAGGACGTTCGTACTCTTATTATTAATTTTATGATGACTAAGAATTCAACTTTGACCTCTTATTCTGCAGTGCTGTACCACCTCTGGTACCAACACTACACAGCTTTACTCTTTGCCTCTTTTATTTTATAAATCAATGGATAATAATATATATATACTTTTTCTGTAAAGCAGTGAGTAATCTAAATGGGTACACCCCATCTACCCATATTATGCACATTTGTACAAGGCTTTTTTTGGTCTGAGACATCATTTCATTAATCAAAAACAATTATTATCCCGAGTAAGATAGATGGCTAATCTAATTCATATACGTAATATAACACAAAAGAGGGGGACAGGGAATAAGGAAAGTGCTTCGTGTTTTTCAACTAAAGAAAGAAAAAGCGGTTAAAAAAAGAAAACTTTAGGATTGATGCGACAACCATGCATCATCACCATCCATCTGTATACATATACATGCCAACATAGATGGTAGGGCGTGAGATGATTTGGTCGGCAATGATTTCCCACTTGTGTGGGGTTGGGTAGGTCCAAACTCGTGTGCGACCAGACCCCTTTTTGTTACGCCTATGGTAGATTCAAGCCCCACGATTGCCTGACCTGCAATCCCACCTTCGAGCCAGCCGCTGCGAGGAACCTCGAGCCTGTCACTCCAATCACATCCTAAAGCATCATGGAATACTAGGAGTTTTTGCCTTCCTTTTGTTCTGGCTATGATTTGAAGGATATCACGTACGCTCCCACTAGGAAGGTAGATGCCTTGGAATTGAATATGGGGGTCCAGGCCAGGCAGCCAGAATCTCTCACCAACCCCCGCCCGTATTCCACTTTAATTTTCCAAAGGAATATCCATGTATCTTGCTGTTGATTTATACTAGTACAAGCTTGAATACATTAAGTACCTACTTAATGTTACCCTGCACCAAATCTGATCTAACAAAACCCACCCTAAAACAAAAGCTAAAGGGGAGGAGCGGGCACATGTTTCAAGAGAAAAGCATGGAGGTTCCACGTCGCCATCCTCACACCAGGAGCCGGTGTCCCTCTCGAAATAAAAAGGGGGGACGGCACAGAAAGGAATGAAGAGAGCAAAGGCCAACCCCACTTCCACTCCCACGTCTTCATGATTCCGTATAAAGTACTACGACCTGTATTTTCTCTTTTATTTTAATCCCCCACCACTGCTATAAATACTAGTAGCATCACTTTACTTCGGCCCTCAGTTGTGTACCACCAAAGCCCTAAATTCTCTCTTCTTTCCCACCCTTTGTTCTGAAACTAGGTAGTACTATGCAGGAGGACAAGAAGGCGAAGGTGAAGAAAGGATGGCTTGCTGTCGAGGTTGGGTTGGAGGAAGAAGGAGAGTTTCAGCGGTTTGTGATTCCAATATCTTACCTTTACCATCCGCTTTTCAGGCGGCTTCTGGAGAAGGCTCACGAGGTCTACGGCTACCACACAACGGGGCCCTTAAGGCTGCCATGTTCCACCGACGACTTTCTTAATCTAAAGTGGCGTATAGAGAAGGAGTCCAACCATCATCTCCACCATCACCATCACCATCATCATCTTCCTCTCACTTTGTCCTTCCACTCCTGTTGAAATACAGGTCTTCATCAACAGAACTTGTCACATGTACACAGACACAGATGTATACTTGCATGTACCATGTAGTCGTCTTTGCTCCCTGCCTGCCAGGGGCTTTCTTTTCCTCGGTACAAGGGAAAGGGCGCTCTATTTTGGTTTGTTCTGTAGTTTACTTTATAAATTGTCAAGCCATACACCTATAAGCTGATCGTTGCATGTACCATGTACTGCTGATCCTTACTAAATTAAGGCAATCAACAAGTATATACATTTAATTTTAACCCATTCACAATACTATCGTTTCATCATTTTCCTCAAGTTAATTTTATTCGTATGAATTGGTCAAATCAAGGCAAGTAAGCGTTGTGTAAATCTGAGTGAGATGAGAAATCATTGAAGAGGGTTAATTAGTATGGGCTAGTGATGGAGGAAGAAAGGGTAGTTGGAGAGGTTAGAAACAACAAAAAAAAATTAATGCAAGGTAGGCAGGTACAAGGATAATATGAGTGATGGGAATAAAGTGAAGTCAATACTTGAGTGGTTGTACGGAACTGGAAGATAACCGGTGGAACCATGTGAAACTGTGAAGTGGGACTTTTGAGATAGGATGATGATACAGGTTAGGAATTAGTAGGCATGAGATATCGATATAGCCAGCCAGATAGGACATCACACTTTCACTTCTAGCCTACACTCCTCCTTTGCTATATCTTATATTATCTGATTCGATGAAATAAATGTACAATATTTTATAATAAAATTTGGATATAATTCATATAATAACTATTGTATCCATCACGTGTTCAAATAAAATTCAGATACACACTTACTAATAATAATTTTAGTTTTCTATATATTATTTTTTATTTATAAATTTTTTTATAATTAATGTAATACTTATAAAAAATGTCTAAAGTTCATCGTCATGTTACGAAATAAAATTATTATTTTATAAATTGAAAATGATGTTTTTTTATCTCATAATCAGATTAGATGATTGTTCATTGTTTATTTAATATTTAATTAACAAATTAATTTAAGATTTTCACTGTGTTAAAACATAAAATTGAAAAAAAAAAGTTCCAAAACGTGTATCAATGTCACTTTTTTTTATAGTTTATTTGTTCTCATCACTTAATAGGTATACAAAAGAATTATATATAATAAATCTTGAAAATATAATAAAATTCGATAATGAATTGTAATTGTGTTTTGCCTTTAATTCAAAAAAAAATTATAATTGTGTTTGCATGGATGAAATCCATCTACTTAGTATTCATAGGTGTTTAACAAGGATATCAATTCTTCCAAACTTATTTTGTAGAAAAACAATATAAGAGACAATTTAAGAAATATTTGTAAAAGTAGAAGAAATTGAAAAGTAAGTTGTTTTGTCTTATAGAAAACCAAAAAATATTCTATTTAAAGAACAAAAAGTTGTTTGTTGAAGTGTATACTTTTTTTTTTTTTCAAAATTAGTTGAAGTGTACACTTAAAAGCCCTTACTTGTATTCAACTAAACTTTTTATTTTTTATTACATTTAATTGAGTTTTTAAATTTTGATTTAAAGATAAATACATCCTTAACTTTGAGGAAAATATAATTGTCATTAATTAGACCCAATGTTAGTTGGCTTTTTATTGCCAAAGTGGTATATGACATGACTAGTTGATGTGGCTACCCGATAAAACTCAAAATTCAGAGAATCATAATTGATATTTTTGTCATTGATTATTGTCGTTTATCGACACCAAAATCATGAAAAAAAACTTTTTTTTTTATTCCTCCCCTTCATTCCTCTAATTAGAGTATTTTTTTTAATTTCGAAAACCCTTTCTTTTTTCTTTATATATATATATATATATATATATATATATGCATTCGAGCATTTGACTTAAAAATAATATTACCCTTACTTAAAAAATAATATTCGAATCCTCTTTCTCTCAATTATATATATATATATATATATATATATATATATATCAAAGATATGAGAGAGAGAGAGAGAGGAAGAAGAACAAGAGTTTTTCACGAAATCTAAACTATTAAAAGGGATGAGGGAGAAGAGGAAATATTCACTATATTTGTTACTTTATTAGATTGTTAAGTCACATCATATACCATGTAGATAGAAAATGTTATTTGACTTTGAGTTGAATTTCACTAGATGATGGACCTACATAGTGTAACTTAGACATCATATCTTAAAGATTACAATCCCATCACAAACCTTAACAAATGGGACAACACAAGTACTATTTTTGCCTTTATCCTTAATTGTTTTTTTAATTATTAAGCTATTAGAAAAGGTAGAGGGAAAAAAAAGCTTTGACTCTGCATTTTTTGATTAACACTTTTCCATACGTACGAGGACTGACATCAATTTATAAACTCGACTGACATCAATTTATAAACTCACTACTTCAATTAATGTCTATCAATAAACTACAACTTCAATTAATATCTATGATCCTAAAATAATAGACTATGAAACGATAAATTTATATTAACTTTAACTATTTATCCTGATGAACATAATTTAAAATAAATAATAACATATAAATATATTACTAAAGCAAATGAAATATATGTAACAAATATTTTCACTGCTATATCTCGTTGCATTGTAGGCAGTACTACTTGCCAACAGCCTAATATTTCTGGATAGACTAGAACATAGAAATGTTAATTTGTCCAATACGAAGTGATTCCTAATACCTATTCCAGGAGGTATAGACACAGCTATTCTGATCTTGGTGTAGCAGGTCATTAGCTCTTTCAAGCTCTAATGAACCAAACTAGTCCCTCCACCTTGAAAAGATGAGTAATTGGAATGACTAATTTTCCCAAATAAACGAGCTTGTATTAGAAGTTAAACCCTTAATTAGTCCCACATCTGAACTTTCAACCATGTCTTAAGAAGTAAACTGTCTAGAACCTTTGCTGCAGCAGCAACATGGCAACTTGAAAACAGAAATATATTTTAAAATTGTAAAAACCTTGGAAGTGGAGGCATTTTTGTTTTCTTTGCCAATCCTGTGTTTGTTTTCCATGGTGATTATCGTAGCTAGGAGCCACAAAAGCCATTTCTTTATAATATTATGAATGAGAAGATTATAAGAAAACAAAGAGAGAGAGAGAGAGAGAGAGAGAGAGAGAAAGAAAGATGTTAAGAGATATGGAGAAAAGAAACTAGTACCTATATATTTAGTCAACCCAATCAATGTCCAAATCTTGTAGCTTTTTGAGCCACTTCTGTGGATTTTGAGAAACATAAGGATTTGATGGAGTCTTTCCTTCACTTTCTACATCACTGCTTGCTATGTTGTCAATCTGTTTCTCCTTAGGAGTAGTTTGTGGCTGTCTGCTGGGGTGTCTCACCTTGAGAGACAGTAGACGAGAAACTTCATGAAGGCCCCCCCATTTCTCCAATGCACGTGCAATGTCATAACGCCCTGTAACATTTTAATTTAAACAGAATTAACAAGAGAACTAATTTTCCTTTAAATGGGGACAGTTTTCTTTTAATAGCATTGCACATTGTTCTCTGCAAAAATAATTTTCACCACGTTAAATTGCTCTGGTTGATGGAAGACAACATCATACCAACTATTTGATGCTAATAATAAAACAAAATGAAAGCAACCTATAGTTTGAACAAAAAGCCACAATATCACAATTGAATTACCTGCACGCTCAAAAGACTTTCTACTGGGCATAAATGATGGGTCCATCCCCCAGCTCCTCTGGAATCGGCTAATCTGAAAGGTAAAACTGGCCAATTTAGATAGTTTGTCATTATCAACTTGTACATTTTATGATTCTTTAATGCAATAACCCTCCACCATCTAATATTTTAATGAGGATGAATGAATGCATTTCACCAAAACATGCATACTTTCCAATTTCATTTGGCTGATTGCTGCATGTGTATGAGCCTAGAAAATTAAGTTAAAAGAAAAACAATATGATCAATCAATTGAGATAGTAACAAAACAGTCCACCTCATCCTGTAGATTCTCAAGGTTGTCCCAGTAGCCCTTTGGTTTGCGTTGTTTGTATGCAAGGGAGAGATTCATCAAGGATGCAATCCGTCTAAATCCACCCATGCGTGTGATGGCTTTCTCAATATCCACTCTGCCATGCAAGCGAAGTTGCTTTCTCATGGGCATGAATCCTTCCTGTCCGTGTTCAGATATAAATTTCAGGAGCTCAGCTTTGAGGACTTCAATGTCCCTTTGCAGGCCAGGAACTCTGGGTCTTTGTCTACATGAATTAGGACTAGTGGAATCCAAAACCTGCTTAGCAGTATCACTATAACCTGTTCCATTGTTTGTGCTGGAAGAAGAACTTTCTTTCCCTGAAAGTTGTCGACTTTCATGTGTTTCCACCTCCCTTGTTTCAACATAATCGCGAATTGAACATAAATTGGATGGTAGATCTTCATATATAACCTACAAGGTGAGAAGAGGTAAAACATCAATATTTTTTTAACATATTCTTTCTTATTTGAAAATAAAAAATGTAGGATAAAAAAATTAAAAAATGTATAAGTTCAAAATACAAAAATAAAAAGCCAAAAACATTAAGCCATTAGACCTTTTTTCCCCCTTTTCTGATAGTCAAGGAACCACAAGTATGCCTATTATACTGTCTTCATACATTCCCACAAGATCGGAGACTATTTCTCAGAAGAAACATTTATCTCACAACACACTTTGTAGGCTTCTAAGATTGGTTCTGAAACAAACATGTAGGGAAGGTAAAAAGGAAAAATCGACATATATTGTGAGGATGGATTTTGTGGATATTCAGTTAAAGCTGTATTAAGAGTTTCTAGAAAACTCCTCATTTAAATTTATTATGTGGGTATCCATCCATGACTGTTCCAAATCCATTCTGGATTTCTTATCTGCTGAGTGAAGGTATGACTACATCGGAAACTGGAAAGTGGAAAGTAGTCTTTTTCTGTGTAAGTAGAACTTGTTATATGTAGTTTATAATTTTATGAAATCTAAGAACTTTGAAGGTCAACGAAGGCTGCCATTTCAAACATTCTGCCGGGATGCTCGAATGGACCAATTTCTTTTTGCATGGTTCAAGTCAACATGCACAAAGGAAAGGGAATATACCAAAAAGGATATCTTTACACAAAAAATATTTTTTATATTCAAGTTACACCTACAATACTTCAATATATACATTAACTGTAGAATAGGAATAAGACGGTAGGTGAAAATAGAAAAGCAGAATGCATAATTTCCATACCTCTTCCATTATAGCTTCAGAAAGAAGGGAATCTCTGTGCATTTTTGACTCCACAGAATACTTCAGTAGCGTGTGATGACTTCCAAGTTGCTCTAGAAGCCATCTTCCCTGAAATGAGTCAAAATCCCCTTCAACCTGCTCAAAACTGATCTCTTGTTCAAGTTGTTCGTGTAGATCTAAAACAACCCGTGCATGAAGAACCATATACAGTAGACCCTTGCATCCTTCCTGCAAAAAGGAACTGATTACATTATAAAATAGGCTAGCCTAATCTTGCTTTATATTTGGTTGAACTAATATAGATCATCAATCACCATCAAATTTGTTATAAATTTATGCTTCATGAGAGGGATTCAAATGATAAAAAGATAAGGACAAAATCAAAACTCTTTTTCTGCATTCAAAACACTTGCATACAGACTTAAAACACTTGCATTCAAACAGAATTACCAAACTATTTTTCTGGCCCATACAGTCTTATGCTACACCAAGGGAGATACTTGTTTCCCATCCCATAGACCCCACCCTTCCATTCCCAGGATTTCAGACTGGAAACCTCGTAGATGGAGTGTCAAGATACTAACCATTGAGATGTCACGTGATAAACTATACTGATTAATATTGCTTTATGTAATTTTGAGATGCATTTAATTGCATCATGTTCATGATAAATGTTAATGCATGGTTAAACTATCTAATAAATAACATCTATCTATATTGCATACTACATTTGTCATTTAATAGCATTAAAATTATAAATATTTATCTACTAGTAATATTTGGAACCTGGTACATACTTCAACACCTTTATAAAGCTTAATTTCATGACCCATACTACTATGCATATAATGAATGCTAGTAAAACCATAAAAGACAACCAGAATAAGTAGACTTCCAGGACAAAATCCTTAGTAGAACTACTCAGAGAAAGGGTGCTGAACACAGTCAAGATTTTAAGATATACATATACAGTCCTTTAAGATCTCAATAAAAATTAATAGTTCAACATCATGATTTTTGTGGCATTGTTATTATTTTCTACCAAAACCTTTTTCATGCCTTTTGTTACTTGGCACCAATTGATACCATCATCTCCATGATTTAGACCATTGTGGCCTTGCCTACATTTTCAGAATGATAATCGCTTTAAAGGACATAGTTTATGTACTTCAGTTGGTCTTTTGTAGGGAAACATCCTTAAGTTCACATTTGGTGCGTAGGATTGGATATGGTAATTTCTTTATTCAATGCTAGTTTATGTACTTCAGTTGGTCTTTTGTAGGGAAACATCCTTAAGTTCACATTTGGTGCATACGATTGGATATGGTAATTTCTTTATTCAATGCTATTATTTTCATTGTCTTCAACCTTATAGGAATTGTATGGAAAGTTAATGGGATTAACAATCCTATATGGAGATGATTACACAATTCTCGGACAAGGGGTTGGATTACATGATCCATAAGGACAACATGCAAGACAAGATGAGAAAAAATTTTATCATTCCTGCACCAAAAACAAGAGAATCTAAAGGCAATTCACTACGCACCCAATAATTCATCAGAAACAAAATCTTACTTATACCTGGAGAATGCGAACTTTGTTGTTTTCGCGTGACAAAACTTTACTAATAGCTAAATTTGGAACAAACCTGCAAAAATGAAACTTAATGAGAAAAAAAAGGAATGTGAAGAACTATTTTATTACAAGGACATATATATTTGAACACTATAGATTTATTTACTTACTCCGTTCTATAATCGATATGGGAGCAGTGGAGAATGTGGTAACTGGTAAGTTATGTATGCTTGAAACAAGAATGATGGTGAAATACAGACTTACAGGTTGATATTGAGGACCAAAACTCCATAATAACCACAGTTTGCGTGCGCAAAAATATATATATATATTCTTGCTTACACTACTTGACTGAAAAGCAATAACTCCAAACCAGTGCAGTCTAACACTTGTATAATTTTATTCTAGTCTGTGTGGCCAAAGCCACATGTCCCGCAAGATGTTCGCTTACTTCATTAAATTAAGCAGCCCTCATGTAGGTATGCCTTATTGAGCATATTTAAGTGCCAATGACTACTGAATATCATACAGCTTTTAAAAATCCTTTAGCTATTTTACTTCCAAAAAAAAGCAAAAGTATTCCGATAATATTACTGAATATTTTCTTTTCGCATTACTCCCTTTCCCATGAGCTCCTAAATTGTTAATGGATGCTAGGAGAAATCATCATGATGGCACAATAATAGCATGGTCTTTTTGGTTTTACCTATTCAGATGCCAAATATGGTACTCAAACTCTTTATTCCGAGGGTTAACTACACATTTGGTACCTGAATTATAGTGAAATTGTCGATCAGAGCTGGGTTATTGGCTAATTGAGCATTTTCTCTCTTTTTTTTCCTCTTTCTTTCTCTTTCTACTTCTATAATATGCCTCAAACTACTGTTCATAGCATAAGACAGGATCCATAATCTTCTTTGATCTTGCTTAACAGGACAATACATCACTGCTTTACTCTAGTTCTGCTGCCACCAGAATTTCCAGCATGCTTTCTTTTCCCTCGATTCCTCCAGTTCTTGAGACAAAATATGAATTGAATTAAACCCTAATTTGATTCCCTACCATAACTCTAAACCCTAAAACTCCTTATTTTCTACCCATACCCACCAGAAACCTATTTAGGTACTTCCCCAAATGTGTCATACATCACTTCAAATTTTCTGGATTAGGTTATTCTGATTATTTGAGTCTCAAACCCAACTTCAATGGCAGTAGAGCGCAACAAAATGGAGTTCCAAAATCTAATTAACAAAGCTATTGAATGTAAAATTTTGAAAGATCAAGTCAAAGATGCCACCAAACTATCAGATGATAACAACCAATGCCTATGGCTTTGGGAATTGAAAAACCAATTTAGCACAAAAAATAGCAGTTAATCTCCTTAAATTGGAGTTCAAGAAACAAGACTATCATTACTTACTCCGGGAGACTCTCATAAGCAGTTAAAACATTCCAAACTTCACGAACAGGAGCTTTTACAGTTATGCTAGCAACAACACAGCGATGAACACCTCCATTTTCCTTCAGCCCAAAAGTATTTCATCAACAACAGCTAAAACAGAATAATTTGATCAGCAACAGCTAAAACAAGGGCGGCCTTCCATAGAACAGGAAGACCTTACAAGAACGGTCTAGAATCAATCAGTTACCAGTAAGCCATCAAATCTACGAAGATGAACTTCATCCACCATGCGAGGCCTATCAATTCTGCACACTTTTCCAAAAACACCCCAGTTACTGTTCAACTCACTTGAAGATGGAAGCAAGGGACCAAGATTGGAGCTAGTATAACTCTCTCTGAGGTCTACTGGTAGTAGTTTGTCCTTTTCCAAGAGTGCACCATCCAAGTCCATTCCAGATGAAGAAGGAACAGGCAAAGATGTTCTAACCAAATCTTTTTCTATTGACATCTTCTGATTCCCATGATAATTCCTTTCAGCTTGAGAAGCCAAGGCTCGAAGATTCACAGGAAGATCTGATCTAATAATCCTCTCCAGGAAAATGGCAGGGAAGTTAAATCTCGGAATTACATTAACTTCATAAGATAAATTTGTCATGACAGACCTGCAAAAGCAGTAAGAGAAGATACATTTTCACTTCATATGATAAAATCAGCAACGCGGAAACTTGTTGGCTATGAAAAAGAGAACATTGATGCTACCTTGTTCCAGATTTGACTGACCATTTCCCTTCAAACTTCTTAAAATCTCCATCAACCATGGAAAAATGGAGTTCACGACCATTGGTCTGAATCACAAGCAACACTTATAAAGCTCGTAGGTTTTAAAGAGAATAGACAGGCATACGTGAAAATTAAAATAATGAAAGACAAATGAAATGACTCAAATTCAATTATACACAACTAAACAATCCAAAGAAGAAATGGAGCTGAATAAAAATCTTCTTCAATGATTTTGCTTTCACAGCTCCCAAAATTTCATCCGTGTCTTTTCTTGAAATCCAACTTTCTCTTTCAGTTTCAAGGTTCACCCAATTTTAGTTCTTTGAAAAACAGCTTTATAAATATTAAAAGTCAGAGCTTTCTACTAATCAATTTGGGCAAATAAAGATAAAAGTTTAGTTACCAACAGTTAGAAATTTATTCAAATTAGCCACTGAGTAAATTTCAGTTCAAAATCTTATTTTCTTTTTCAAATAGTTCCACATACTAAACCTGCAAATTAGTGACTTAATGGACTCGCCTTGCCCAAAATTAGAGATAGCGCTTAGCATTGCTTGCCTTCAGGCACCTTCTCCATCCTTGATTATTCGCTCACACTCCATGCATACTCATATTTTCAAAAGTTAATTCAATATTTTCTTCAAAAATAATGATATTAGGACTTAAAGAGGTGCAGATTGAAATATTTCATGGATCAAATAGAAATATCATATCTGGAGTGGTCAAGGATCCATGGTAGGTAAAGGAAGTACAGGCTTGTTAATTTTCGAGCCTGAAAAAGGAGATTGCAAATGTTAGTACAAAGAGGCTGGCAAAGACAAAGCTCCCTCTGTTTGCTCCTAAGCCAAGCAGAGCTCCAATGTTCTTTTTCCAAAATTTAGATTCATTCCTTGCAGTCAGCTGTTCACAGGAAAAGCCCTGGAATACTCGTAGGATGATTAACAGCACCTGTCATAATTAATAGTTGAGCACCTAAGAAATTAAATGCTCTTTGAGACGTTATTCTTCCTTAATATTCATGTCGAATATGCTTTGAGCCTTTATTTCAAATCATCATAAGTAATCACCTTCCATTAAACTAGTTTATTCTAAATGTTTCATCAACTACTTTAGTTTTGACAGAGATGATTCACTGATCATTCACATCCAACCCAGGCAAAGCCCTATGACATGATAGCCATTGGTTATATCGAACTATTTTGCCAAATTACAATATTCATCCTCCAACTATGACCCAAACCTTATTTCCATTTCTTAGTTGCAATTGCAATAATTTCAGGCTTATAGTTTCATTAGCAATTATGTGAATCGTCCAAAAATCTTTGTCAATGAAATGGGAAGGACTGAAAAAATAAATCACATGCATACCATATAATAGTTACGAGTACTCAGGAAGCATTTAACGTGACAAGGTTAAAAAATTTTATCATGTAGAACCAAGTAATTCTTTATGCAGGTTAACAAAAATGTCTTCAAAATGAATTCATTCTTTGTTTTCTCCATTCTTTATAACAAAAACTGTGACAGGTTGCTCGACCAGCATAAAGGACAAACTCTTCTTGCCTCTTTTAGTCTTAGTTTAGGATCTACAAGATTGTGACCGGCATGGAAATACAACCTTCAATGGTGTTATATGAAGGTCAAGTTTTCTAAAGCTAGATATCATTCAACACTCCAACAATCATTCAAAATTTCCATGCCCACACAGTAAAAAAAATGAAAGGAATGTAAATACAAGATTAGTAGATTAAACCTATTTTGAATTGTTAGCCTCCCTAATAGACTGAAACAAGGTAGAATTTATTTTTACAAGTGCCAGCGAAGTCAATTTTTAGTGATGATGATATGATGGTACTGCTGGTGGAAGAGGCAACTGCTCTTGCAACTGCTAAAGCTAAAGATAATCATGATTATGATTGTGAACTAAAATCTATAGCAAAAAGATTGCAGATTGTAGTTCTACCGATTTGGTCTAACATCCAATGGAGCTAACAGCATTTGTTGGAAATGGGAAATTTTACACAAGTATAGCTTTCTTTCCATGAGGGGCCAACTTGAGAAAAACAGGATATTGCAGTGAATTACACAACAAAACAAAATTTTGAAATAAAAAAGATAAACAAGCTATGGAAAACAACACTCCATCAGTATTAGAGCAAGGGAAATATACATGAGCAAAATCCTAGGATTGACTAAAAGAATTAGTATTTATGACACAGTTCCACACCATAACTACAGGGCATAAGATGCTTACCAAATTGGAAATTTCCTGGAGATCAAGGACTACACGTGCTTCAATTTGCCAATATAATGCCCTTTGCAAACCTCTCTGCTCCAACCATATTCGTCCAGGATGAGGACAAGGAATTCTTCCACTAACAATCAGACAAAGTTCATTCCAATCAAATAACAGAGAAGGGAGTGACGGGAAAAAGATAAGCATTGACCACAGATTTGCATTCAGAGTGATACTAACCGCAATGAAAATGGGTTTGGAGAGTTGATGATTAGTAGAAAACAGAATAAACAGTTTTCTCTACATTCTCCAATGACTAGTTCACCAAGGACAATATACAATATTAAATCAGCAGATGATATAGGAGTCTTCACAATGCATTATCACATCCAACAAGATTAAAAGTGAGAGAATTTCTCCAATAAAAACGGACAAAAAATCAGTTCAGTATCAGTTTAACCTTAATCGTACATAACCACAGCACAAAACGTTTATGATCTACAATTAGTAGCTTTAGCCTTTGTCATTCTAGCTCTAAAGAAAAGGGAAGGAGGGGGGGAGGGGGTTGGGATTTCTCAATTACGATAGAAAACTTTCAAAGAAAATTAAAGCATTTGGAAAAAAAGGGACGTTATTGAATTCCCTGTCGACAAATTTGCAATGGTGGCATAGATTTTTGTGGAACCTCATTACATGGTCCCTATAGTCCAAGGATGACTACTAAAACATAGCGTGACTATAAAAATAAGTAGATGATACATTTCGCCATTCAAAAAAGAAAAAAAAGTTAAAATCTTAAGTTTTCTACTTTTATATCAAAACAGTATTTTCTTTTACTCGAAGAAAATGCAAGTAAGATAGTACAAGAGAAAGAAGAAAATGGTGAAAGGGGAAGGGGAAGGGGAAGGGGGTTACCTTACCTGCAAATAAGATTGGGAATAAAATCGGCAAGACGCTCATAATCAGTGAGAGCATTCCAGACAGAATCAATGTCAGCGGAAACCAAAATTTCGGCCTTGATTCGCCTCTCTCTCCAAGAAAGCACTTCCACTTCGCAGTGCACTTTCTCCTTCCGGTGTGCTTTGGCTTCCTCCTCTTTTTCTTCTTCTTTTCCACCGAAATCTCTCGCTCTTTTCACGTACTCGGTCGTCAACAAACAAGTCTTGGCTCTGTTTCTAACATTGGAAAAGACCATGCAATGTTTGTTGGACAGACGATTAGGGTTGTTCACCGAAAATGAACAACTTTCTGCTTTGAGTGAGAGAGTTGCATGGCTCAAACTCGAAGCCTTGCAGATGGCACTGTTGATCATACTGATTCATGCACTGGTTTTGTGTCTGAGTTTGAGCGAAGCAGCCTCCACTGTTTGTTCCCGTTGTTTCTCTTCTCTTACCATTACTAGCAGTTAAGTTGGTTTAAAGTTTGAAGCAGCGTTGCTGGCTGGCTAGGAGCCACGAGTTCCTTGCTCCCCACCTTGGCCTTTCATCCTTAATAGTAACAAACAAGAACAAGAATGGGTGGCTCAAGCTCAACGCCGCCCCCCACCCCTGCAAGGGTGCTTTGGTCTTTTTCAAACACACAACCGCGGCTGTGAGAGTTACCTTTATGGCCTTACTTTAGCTTGTCTTCAAGTCGCCCATAAGCCCCTTCGCCTTTCAACCCCCCACGCAAAATGATATCAAGCAATAATAATCCTTTTTCATTTTTTGCTTATATTAAGCGAAATGGATCCGAACATGCAAAATGCTATCAAACAATGTAGATTCTTAGAAGAAGAGGGTATAAATTTCTGATGCAATCATTTTATATGCTGTGACTGAAAACAACTACAACAAATGAATGTTTGTTTGCCTTATTTCTCATCTCATTGGTATCAGACAAAATTTCTTTTAACAAAGAAAGCAGCAGGTAAGTTGTGGACACTTCAACACATTTTACCCTCTGCTTTGAACCATTGAGTGCTGGAAGATACAACACTCGTACACCACCGCAGTAACAGTTTACCAGGGACAGTGACCATTCACAGCAGTGCACTTAATGAAGCGACTCCTCGTTCAAAACTTTACGTGAGAATCCCCCCAGAGTGAAAAATCGACCTTAAAATTTGATTGGCATGGTATTTCGATATTAAACTTATCCTCTCAAGCCAAATCTCAGAAATTTACAACCGACCACCCCTTGGAAGTACTGCTTAGAAGGCAACTGCTCAAAGTCGATTCATATCATGCTCATGGTATTTTGAAAAGAATCTTCAGTCTCTGAACCAACTTCCACTCCTCAAGGGTCAGATCATCCTGAAGAACTTGAAATTAATTAAACAATATCACACAAAAACTAATAAAAAGTGCGAGGGAGAAAGAACACTGATAATAAGTAGCTCACTAACTCACCCTATAATTAGCTTTGAGAACATCAATTGACCTCCTCGAAATGTGACTAACAAGCTCATCCTCAAGCTCAAAATGCCTCCCATACATTTTCTGCTGCTCCTCAGGACTGGATCCAACAATCTGCAAAAAGACAAATGAGAAGTACTGAATAAGACCTAGCTAAAGCAATTGTCATCTTGGCATAACCGTCTATCAGTCTGAGGTCTAGGGAGAAAGGAAACTCAAAAACTTTCTTATCTTCTGTATTCTATCCTCTCCATCATCCTATGTACCCAACACGCGCCCTATACGCTTCAGAAGAGGGAGGGGGGACGGGGGAGGCCAGGAGGGGAGGCAGAGGCATTCAGGGATATTTGGTTCATCAATTCGTGACTAACAATTGTCTATATTTACGTGTGCACATGACATATGATATTACTACCACTTGTAGATGTAAGACATTTAAAATTATAGCAATTCTGTCATTTCATACAACACATTAAAAGCAAACCATGTTGAATAACATTCAACCATGGGGGGTTCAAATTTAAAACCAAAAAAAAGTTCATAATAATCATCCTTCACATTACTAATTCTGAGAATTAAAATTTCAATTTTCAAATACCCAAAGATACTTGGAATCATCCAAACAGTAGTTTAGTACTGAAATATTGGTTCAAGTAAGCATCACATATGTTTCATTGAAACTATGTTAGCTGGCATTTGTTACTCTCTTTTGACTTCATGAATCAGTTGCAACAACTTGCAAGAGTCATATCAACATTTTCACCTTGCAGGGGAGAAAACAGTAAAAAAATAATGTTTACATTTGCTGCCAGAAGAGATATCTAACAGTTCTAGTAAGATATAGTGTTCCAACATCCATATAAACAGATCTTAAGAGATTATTAAGTTGGATTCTTTTCCATTTATTATCAATAACAATTAGCCCTTAACTTTTCAATCATGGACACATGCCAGAAGGTGCTACCAGATAAGAACTTTAAAGAAGAAAGTTCCATGGAGTTGGATTCACCACAATTTATGATGTCCATTGTATTCGCATGCAATCGTGAGAATGCAGTTGAAACATTCAGAAGTAGTAGTCTGCCATCAAGACATGTTTGTACTGGTCTGTGCCATAAATGTTCTTAGGTTTTCTAACAAAGCAGAAGAAACACATGCATGTTTTTATTCTTTGGCCAGAAAACACATGCATGTAATCTGAAAGATTTCTATAGTGTGTGAAATGTCGGCATGTCAATTATTTCAAAGCTAAAAGAAGGATGAAACAAAGCCGGTAGAACTAATTGAAGCAAGCTCAATTCAAACTAAAGAATGACATTTTACAAAAAGTAAGGGAGAAATAACTGGGAGAAGAATATTGGCAAATAAAAATCTCAATTAGATATCAAAATGTTATTAGGATTTTATGGCATCATTTTTTGTGAGAGGCGAAACATCAATTATTAATATTCAAGGGCATGAAATTGGTGACATTTTCACATCCTCATATCCACTGAGCTAACTGAAGATTAGGAAATCAATTCTACCTAAAAGGTAAATAAAATATTTAGCAAGTGCAAAAAGAAAAATCAAACCTTAATGGCCACCTTCTGGCCTTTCTTGGCAACTTCAACAGGTCTATGGTTATTTTCAATTGAAGCAATTCGGCCAATGTCAATGAATTCCCTTTGAGGAATACAAATTGGAGTGCCAACCTGCACAACAAGAAAGATAGTATCAGAAAGCTGCAAACATTAACGCTATGGATAAAACAAATTGAGTTTAACAACCAAAAGCTCATATAATAAATCCTTCTCAAAATTCTGCTTGTTTGGAGCAGTAGTTCATAGTCAAATTCACAATTTAGTAGGATCTGCCTAGGCTCACTGCAGTATTTTCAACAACTAACAACGGTTTGAGTCATGGTTTCAAGGCCCATTAAAAAAGCATATTACAAACACGACGCTGGGACCAGCTTTTCATGCAATGCCAAGTATACATCAGATATACATCCTAAAATTTGTCAATATTTTGGTTATTCATTCAAACACATTTGCCTGAGAATAAACATAGCTGTCAGTGCAAAACCAGACCTGTCAGTTATCCAGAACTAGCTTTTCATGCAATGCCAATAAGACATCAGATCTAAATCTAAAAATCTGTCCACATTTTGGTTATTCCTTCAAACACATTTTCCTAGAATAACGTTCTCATTGCAACATCAGATCTGTCAGTCATTTTCTAGAAATATTCGAGCAAATCTAATGATTGAACTTCTTGGCTTTTTAGACACTCTAGCTTGAATGCAGGTTCAAGAGTATAGAGACTTCATGTCATGATCGGTATTGGATGCCAAAATTGAATTGTGCATACTTATTTTGGAAAGTATAAACTGAATGAACTGATAAAAATTGTACCCTTGCAATGCCTTCCAGGATATCAACCCCCAAGACAATGGGATCCTTCTTGTTGAAAATGCAGTTAGGTAAAATCTTCAGAACACAAGGGAAGACTGCTTCATCTGCTGCTTCCTTCTTCCTCTCCTCTTTCAGACCATCAATATATGCTTTGAATTGGTCAAATAAGTGATAAATAATATCAGCAATGAAAATCCTCACACCCAGTTCATCTGCTAGTTCTCGAGCCTCTGGTGTCACCTTGACATCAAAAGCCAATATGGTAGCATACTCGTTTTTCTTCTCAAGCATTACACTGGCCTTCATTACATCTTTTTTGTGTACAGGGCCTATGCCTATACCACTAACAGGAATATTTACTTCTGGAGTTTTCAGAAATTCCAGCAATGCTTCCAAAGAGCCAAGGGTGGATGCTTGTACATAAACCCCTTCCCCGCTTTTGTCAATCCTATTCATGACTGACTGCATATCCTCCCTTACTGCTTCTTTGACATCTTCCAAATCATCATCAGGCCCTACAACATAGAGACCAGTGCCGGCAATAGCATGCTCAAGGTTCTACATAATGATAGAACAGGAGATTAAGCTTCAATTCATTTACACTATTATCAAATATAACAGTCAACCAAATCTATTGCCAAGTTTCAATCACCTGTGCAGCGATCTTGATACCCATTGCTGCCTTGATCTCCTTGTGCTGCATGTATGTTCCCTGCAATTATCCAAAAAACAAAAAGGCCATCATGCTGCACTATTTTACAGATTAGCGGCCACCAAAATGCAGCATACATAGTATTTGTTTTATAGGGAGGGTGAGGGGTGGTTCTCAAATACGAATGCTGTTCCGTGATATCACAGTACATCAATGGGTTGAAAATTATTTCCAATTTTCTCCATTTAAGCCATTTAGAAAAAAAAAATCATCAAATACAACAAAGTCTCCTCTTCCACGATGAAGCCATTTTACAAAGTCTCCTCTTCCATGAGGAATAATGTCAAACCAACTTATAGACTTAAGTTAATCATACTCCTTCAACCACAACAAACCATTTGTTTCAATCAAACACCACGTGTATCACTTTTCCTGACTGTTATTTTCTCTCTAGAGACTAAAGACTCTCAAATTATCTACAATACCTTGTTCCCCATATCACTCCAAAATTCATTCTTATACATCCTACTTCCCCCACCTGCTTCCAGTCACAGCCTTATCCCTAAATGGAGACTCCAATATTACCTTCACAACTATGAATGCACATAGACCCAGATCAAAGTGCACATTAGCAATAGAGGACAGCAGAACTCAACCAAAACACCTCACAACCCTTGGGCGAGACACTATTGATGGCAATAAGGGACAGCACAACTCAACCAAAGCACCTCACAACACTTGGGCAAGGCACTATTGATCAAGTGTTCATTTTTGCAACTAAAGACACCTTTTTCACGGCAAAAGATGCTTCAGTTTCTCTACTGTTCATTGGCTATATTTACTAGTCAGAAATGGACAATGCCAACTTGTTTTAGAAGAAGTTTAAAAAAAAAGGGTAACGTACTCCATGCATCTCCTTAAAATCTATTAAGAAAACAATACATTTTAAAGCTTATCATATACAGTAGGTAGAATTTTCATTGTTTTATGTACATATTAACTATTTTTTAGAATTGCCTTATCCCAAGCACACAAACACTTTTTGTGCCATGCACCTTGGGGATGTGAAGGTCCTAGCACCTAAAGTACCCCTTGTGCCTTTGACAACACCAACCTATCCATTGTGGTCCCTGAGGAGCTATTACACCTTTAAAAGTCCTTGATTCAAACAATAGACTGATAAAGTTCCCAAAAAGATGATTTCTGCTCACTCGAAAGTTTATCCCCACAAGATAAAAATTTGAATAATGTAAAACTTATCAGACAATCAGACTAGAAGAAAACAGTTGCCCATTCATCGTCATATTAATGCGTCAATGCACTAACAAATTACAATGTCCTATGAATCTTGTCTCCTACTTTTATTGTAAATAGTCAGCGGTAAACATTAATTAGGTCCAATATAGCCTGCTTCTCCCACCAGAGAATCTAGAATCTAAAAAGACGTGAGAAATGACAACCAAAACCCATACCTTGACTCGGAGTTCCTTCATTGGGTGGGGTGTCAATAATGCTCTTACAGTGGTAACAATAGGCCCCTGAAATAGGAAATAACATTTGAGAAATTTAGCCTCTAGCAATCTCATCAAATCTTCAGCCAAATAGAAGCTTAAGTGCTTGCCTGCAAGCCACAAACAACAATTTGATCTCCTTCATGAAGAATACCATTAACCAACACAACGTCGATAGTTGTCCCAAGGCCTTCAATAACCTTCACCTCCAAGACAGTACACTAGCACAAAGTTCAATTTACAAAACGTCACATATTGCACAATAGTGAAATGGTCAACCATTTTTAAATAGAAAGCAATAAGAAAAGCACACCTGCACTTCATCATTGAATGTAAGTTTTTCAACCATTGTTTTCTGTGCCCATTGGACCAGTAATAATAACAAATCCGGGATGCCTTCTCCACTGCAACATCAACAACTGCAAAACATTACACCATTGGCCAAAATACAATTACCAAGTAGATTAGGAACTTGTGGTGTATCCATGACTAACGTGATTGCACTTGTAGGAACAATGCTGAAAGTTTCACCCATTTCCCGATTTTTATAGTACAATTCAGTATTCAATCCTTGCTCCTTGAACTGAGTTATAATCTTATAAATCAAAAACAGAAAACACAAAATTAAGAAATTTCCATCAAAATCAGATAAAACATATTAGACAAACAAGAAATTTATATCGATTTTACATGTGTAAGTCTCATATTGAATTCATTTTGCACATCTTTAGATTGTTGCTTAAGTGACTTCAAAATTGGTGCATTGCGTAGAACTTTCCAGCCATAAAGTCTGTCCACCTGCAAATTTTTATATAAGAAAAAAAGACAAAATAAATAAATAAAGCATCAAAGAAGGAGAGGAATACAACAGCTAAGCCAAGGTTGAGACTAAGATCCAGCCTGACCTTATTCAATGCAACGATAAACTCAGTGTTCCTCATTTTCAAAAGATTGAGTGATTCTATCGTCTGTGGCTCTAATCCATGCATAATGTCAACAACCAAAATGGCAATATCACATAAACCTGATCCCCTTGACCGAAGATTTGTAAAAGATTCATGACCAGGGGTATCAATAACCAACAGGCCTGCAACCTTCAATTTGGCATCAGCTTTCAATTCCCTGGTTCTCTCCCGTATGTTCTCAGCAGGAAAATATGTGGCGCCAATCTGTTGAGTAATACCACCAGCCTCACCTTCCTGAACATTAGTGCCTCGGATGCAATCCAGAAGCTTTGTTTTACCAGTGTCAACATGGCCCATAATGCAGCAAATTGGGGAACGGAGGTTTTCTTCAGTCTGTTTAGAAGGAGCATCTAATCTGGGTGCTTTATTTTTCACACCAGTATTTTTTTTCATATTTTTGTCTTGAGCTTCAACGTCAGGATGTCCTTTCTTACTTTCATCATCTTGAGATTTAATTGATCGGGAAGCAGTGGCTTTCTTGGCCTCAACTGTCGGCTTGGTGACTGCAGCAGGGGCTGTGAAACACAATAAAAAAACAAAATTAAAGCAAATCTGGAGGCAACAGAATCCAACAAGCAATGACAGTCCTAACCACCACCTGCATTGCGTGAAGCTGATGCAGCACTCTTTATATCTTTCAGTACCATAGGCTTAGGCTCGGAATCAGCCTCCTCATCATCAAAGGCACCCTTAACATTAAGAGTAACATCATCCCAGCTTTTTTCATCCCATTCACCATCATCATCATCCTCTTCTTCCATTCCACTCTCTTCAGCAGCATCTGCAACTACAGATTTCTCTTCTGTGTTATTTGATTCCACCTCATCAACCTTCTCATCTTCCAGGGTATTCAACTCATCCTTGGTCTCCTGCTCTTCTTGCTGTTTTTCCTTTGCTTGTACCTTTTCCTCAGGCTTACTAAAGGCAGGACCATTTGCATGATGATGAGCTGTCTTAGACCTCTTTGATTGATATATAGGTCGTTTTGTAGGTGCACTATCTTTGTCTGCACTAGGCAGAGGCAAGCCTCCTTTATTGCCCAATATCTGATTCCTCATGGCCTCAAGGCGACGGGCTTCTTCCTTTTGCTTCCCAGTTAATAGTTTACCTTCCTGCTTCTTCTTTAAGAGCTTCTCCTTTTCCCTTTCTTTTTTCCTACGCCTAGCCTCTTCTGCTTGCCGCTCTAGCTCTTCTTGCCGACGTCGCTCTTCCTCTTCCTTCCTCAACCTCTCCTCTTCTTCCTTTTTCTTCCTCTCTTCTGCTTCTTTTCTCCTAGCAAGTGCCTCTTGCATCTCCCTAACGTGCTTTGGCAGTTTCTTGTCAGCAGCTTTACTCTTAGAATCTTTCTTTTTGGTATCAGAGGTCTCAATTTTCATTTCCTCTTGACTTTCTTCCTTAACATCTGCTGAAGCTGTAGCTGCTGCTGTAGCAGCAGCAGCAGCTGCTGCCTTCTTTTCCTTTTCCTTTTCCTTCTTCTTTTTCTTCTTCTTTGCTGCTGCAGTCTCCACACCTTCTTCCTCACCTTCCTTCTCACCTCTGGCATCGGCAGGAATAACGGTTTCAGGCTGAACGTGAACATTCTCCTCTGGGGGAGGAGGTGCGGCGGGTTTCAATTCAGTAGGCCCCTCACCAAGTTCTGCAAGAATTTTATCCAAGTCATCCTCCTCTTGCACAGTCCTTCCACTCTTATTCTTCTTCTTCTTCTTCTTATTCTTTGAAGTTTCTGTAATCTCTTCACTCTTGTTGTTTGTTTTAGAATCATCAGCTTCGACATTTCTAGTTCCTAAACTTGGTTGTTCAGATTCAACCATATCTGTAACTTCACTTTGTGGCTCTGTCCCATCAGTCAAGATTTCAAAAGCACTACTGCTCTTCTTCTTGGATGATTTTTTTTTCTTACCTGAAAATGCAATCGCCGAAACATCGTC